AGGCCGAGTTCGACGCGAGGTGGAAGGCCAAGCAGAGCAGGGGGGTGGCTGTCGAGCGGGGAAAAGGAGGACGTCGAGGACCCGGAGGCGGCGGGGCGGTGGGGGAAGAAGTTCCACAGCCTGCTGGGGCTGGACGAGACCTTCACCGACGAGCTGCTGGCCTGGGTCAACCCGCAGGCCGAGGCGGCCGGCGGCAGGCCCGTGGTGGGGCCGGACGACGCGTGGCGTGCACGGTACAGGCAGATGCAGAGGGAACGTGCGTGGAGGTGGAAGGCGGAGGAGGAGGACTGAGGGGGGCATGGCTCTCTGTCGCGGCAGGGCTTCGCACGATCCGAGTCACGGAATGGCGTAGAAGGCGTGGACAAAGGGTATCATTTTTTCCTCGACTAACACTACAAGGGCCCGTCCGGCCTCGCCTCTCTCCTCCGTCCGTATCGTCTAGAACTGACAGGTGCCGCCGCCGGCCTTGTTGATGACGCTGCAGTGGAGGACATGGGTTAGCACCTAGCGTCCTGATCAGGCGTTGCGGCGGGGGTCGGTCTCACCAGCTGCTGCCCTGGGCGTCTATGCAAATGACCCTACCGTCGCCGAGGCCGCTGTCGTTGCAGGTGAGCCCGAGCTGCCTGTTGGTCTCGACGCGCTCGGCCTGCGTCTTTCTGCCCCTCTGGGGCATCGGGGAGGCGATGGCGAGACCGGCGATGGCGGCGACGAGAAGGGTCTTGAGGTACATCTCGGAGACGTGTTGCAAGAAAGGGGATAGTGTTGTCAACGGGATATTAGATGGAGTGTATGGGCCAGCCGATCGTGTACAAGTGAAGTTGAAGCTGGATATTCTTTGCAGGCTCGCTAAGGACAATGAGTCGCTTGCCCTAAGATTTGAAGGAGAGACTGGATGCTATAAATGTAAATCAAGATGGATGCCCTACGATACGCGATTGCCAACATGCGCACTACTCGCTGTTCCTTTGTTGTTTCAGTCGATTTTCGTGGTCAGAAACCACACCCACCCTACCATTTATGCACCACCGTTTCGGATAGTGGTGGGGCTCCCGCCGTGTCAAGCCCCCTACCGTGACAGCTCTCTTATGTCAACAGGCTTGTTGTGTCTCCAGGTTGTTTTCCCCAGCGCCATACCAATGTTCGTCTCCCATACTAGTAACACCAAACACGACAGCTCCCCAACAGACATGGCGATTAGCCAACAAAAAACTCCCAAAAATCACATGTCGCAGTCCTGACGCAGCAAACTCCATTTGGGGGCAATAATGGATTCGGATCTCCATCCATGTAAATCAGGCGCCTTTTCGGGATAAACAGTCGGATCTGCAAGCCGATATTTCCCATCATATCAGCATCATCTAATTATACACTTGGCACCACAGCCAGGGTTTATCGATCGATGTCAATCAACGGAGCGGACCCTTGCCCGTCACCGTGTCCCGACCCGGGGTCCATTCCAACCGCGCTCTACGGATTGGCCTTTGCCCCGATCCAGGCCGGAGAACCCAAGTGACGTCCGCAGCCATTCGGACACCGCTCGGACTAGCTAGTGATTCGCCGAAACAAAAAGGGACTTTGATTGGTGCAGCTAACAATAACTTTCCATCATTAGGTCGATAACGATGCCAATTCTATCCTTCCTTCGCTTTTCCCTCTGAGAAACTGCCCGCGCGAAACGAAACAAAGCCTCCGTATCACCTCGGTGTTCAAACAAAGTCATTTCATCAATCCCTGGCGCTGGGCACCGGCCGGGCCAGGAGCTCGGCTTCGTGGATCGCGTCTTCGAACTCGCTCTCAGGCGCCTCCCCCGGGACCACCTGACAGACCCCCATCTCGGACACGGCGTGGCCCTGGAAGTTGACACCGAGGTCCTTGACCTGCTCCGCTAGCCGCTTGGCCACGTCGACGTCTCTCCGAACCTGCCCGAGGTAGTCCTCCCTCGCCGCGCGCACCGTGGCGTGCCCCTTGCTCCGCCTGCAGTTCCTGATGTGGAGGTCCGCTTTGAAGCGCGTCACGACGCGGGGCTGGTTGCGGAGCTTGGCCGCCTGCAGGATGCCGATATCTAGCTGTGCCGTGATGAAATAGCCGTCAGTTTCTTTCTGTCGACAGTCTGCCAAATCAACCTGCCGCCTGTCGTACAGATAGGGGAGACTACATTCAGCAATCGCGCCACTCACCTCGGCCAGCGTGGATGAGTGCACCAGGAGGAGCTTGTCGTAGGCAAAGAGCTTGAGGTTGTAGTAGTAGTTGAAGGTCTTGCTCTCGTGGGTCCCGCCCGCTTTTTCCTGTCTTGCCACCATCTCAACCAGCACCTTCATTTGTTGCGGTATCTTTTTCGACGATGGCATTGTTGGCATGGCTGCTGGGTTGGTCTATGTTTTGGAGGCTATTTGCCTCCTAAACCATCGAGCGGCAGAAAGAAACGACCGACCAAGCGAGCGTCTACTACCTCTGCATCCTGGGCCAGAACCCATATACGCAGGCGCAGCAGGGTCATGGGTTTTGGTAGAGCCACAAACGGTAATACGTAGCACTCCCAGCCCTTCGGGATCACACGCCCATGCTCCCTTGGTGCCACTTTGGAGATCTGTCAGGAGGACTTCGCCGAGACTGGAAATCGGGGGCTGATCATATCTGACTTGGGCCTCAAATGTAGCAGCAGGGGACAACGAAAACGTGTGGTCTTTGAACCGACGGCCACATTTGCCACACTGGTCTAAAGGGTCTGGCAAACCCCTCGTCAGTCAATGATGTCGAGCAACAGATGCTGCCATGGCAGAGACTACTCGTCACGGTTACGATAGCATAAGTCTCCTTACAATTTCTCTGCTGATCATGTCATTTATTAATCGCCAGACAGATCCGGCTATCTTATTTCATGATCCTGTAAACCTGGTATTCGTCCCCCGTGTTCACGGGGAGCATGTTAAATGTCGCATACGAGTCTATGTTTTCTGGCTCGAGCACGTTGAATGCGTGGGCAGCATTCTTTTGTCGAGTGCTGACCAAGTAGCCCCCTGCGGGGATGGTGATATTCTTCCGAACGATTGCGGTCGTGACAGTAGTCCTGGCAATGCCCTCATACTTGGACGATGCCAGCACGGCCCCGGTGATGTTGAAGGCCTCGACCTGGCCCTTGAAGTCGGCCCGGAGCTCGTCGACAACAAGGCCCGCGGCGCGGAGTCGGTCGGCGGCGTCGTGCCAGGCACGCGAAAACACATACGCCTCAGGTCGGGCGCGCGTCAGGTTCGCAACGGCCGGGGTAGTGTTGAGAAAGTTGACGGGCACGTCGATCAGCGTGCCGTTGCGGACATCTACGAGGGTCCACGAGATGTTGGTTGGTCGCGGGTAATCGGTCACGACGATGTCGTCATTGTTGGAAATGAAATCGGCCCGCGCATTTTCCACAGTAGAATAAACAAGAGCAGCACCATCGGCAGCGGTCTGCACGAGGGCCTCGACCATGGTCAGGCCCGAGGCGACGCGGCGCTGAAAGTGCTGGTCCGCGAGCCCGATCCCCCTAGTCTCGGTCAGGAACATGACTGCCTGAGAGAGAGCGACCGAGGTGTCGCCCATCTTGGCGTCGCCCGTTGTCTCCTCGAGCAGCAGGCCGCCGTCGGGCCCTTCGGAACCGACAACGTAGGGGCTCCAGCGCAGGTCACGGGCCTCGAGCGCCGCGGCGATCGAGTCGGCGAAAAGGGTCTCGGACAGGCGGCGGATGTCGCGGTGTATGTTCAGATTCTTCATGGCCGAGAACATTCCGTCCTGGGCCGGGTGCCAGCGGTCGGCGGTGGATCCGTAGCCTCGCGTGGCGCTGTACTCGTGGCAGTCGACGCCGACGTGCGGGGCAAAGTTCATGACAAGGCGCTTGATGTCACGGGTCTGCTGGCGAGCGAGCTTTGTGTGGTCGCGGTTGGGGTCAAATGATGTCGCCAGATAGCGCTGGAAATAGGCAACGCCGTCCGGGTTATAGCGAGGTAGCATCAGAATGTCGACCTTTTCGAGAACGGAGGCGGCCCAGGCTGCGTTGGCATCGAACTTCCCCAAAAGCGCCAGGAGGGCCTGGTCTCCGGCGGGCTCGTTGCCGTGCACGCCACCCTGCATCCAGATCCGAACCTTCCCAGTAGAGTTGAGATGGGTCTCCAGCCCAGCGCCAACGTTGGTTGCCAGGTTAGACGTCGAGAGAAACACATAGGGCAGAGACCGACCCTCCTCGGAGCGGAAGGTTGGGTTGTGATATGTCATCCACTCGTTGCGCGCCGCAAGGGTTTGGAGGAAGTGCTCCAGCGTAAGCTGGTCTGTCGGGCCATTGGTGCCGTCGGTGAAAGACTTTGGGACCGTCTCAGGAGTTGCAAAGGCGGGAGATCGAAGCTTGACATCAGCAACGACCGGGAAGAGTCGCTCCACACTCTGACTATCCTGGACAACGGGGACGCGGTTGTCTGCGTACTTGAGTGCTGAAGCAAGGCTCACGCCCTGGAGAATGGCAAAAGCAAGCGCGTTATGACGGTGCATCTTAGCTGAAGTCTCTGGAAAAGGGGATAACCGTGGACGCAAGCCATTGGGAGAGCACGGCAAAGAGCCGCGTCGAGACGGCAAACATATTTAAACCAAAAAATCCGCGCCCTCCCGACACACAGAAATGGCTCCGATCACCGCACCAGAGCGATAAGCCGGATGCAAAATTGACTCGGCCTTGGCCGGCTGCCCATGCGGGACTAGGAAGGTCGCGACGGGATGCGGGGATTGCCAAGACAGCGACCCCATCCGGTCGGATGTTGATCGGGGGCCTTTTCGGGGAGCTTTTCGGGGATGGTGAGCGGACGGACTCGGCATGACGCCGGCGGACGCGGAGCAGACCTAATTGATCTCGGGGCTAAAGACAGACGACGTGCTTACTAGGAAACGGATGTGAACAATTGGGGTTGGCCGAGTCGAATTGAGGCCACGCCCCAATGACTGACGGCCAGCGAATGGGGCTGACAATGAGCCTGACGTCAATATGGCGGGCGCCTTTGTTGCCTGATGCGGCATCCCGCAGCCCCCATGACTGCGGCAATACGAGCTTCAGGGACCCCACCATTGCAGCCAGCGTTGCATCCACCCGGCAACCAACAACTGGCGGCACTTTGTCGATCATTGAGGCCTGATCCGGTATGGCGCCCTCCCAGATTCCAGTGCTCCCATCCTTCAGCTCGCACTTGATTCATCAGGGTACGTCGCATCCCGTCGTTACTCTGCCGCACTCACACAGATTGTCAGCCTACATAAACGAGGCCTTTTAGCCGTGTGTGTTAATTTTGACCCCGTTCGTAACGGACAGGTCTCGTCATCGTGTATTTGGACACGAGCTGACCGCCTGCCAAACAACTATAAAAAGACTGCACGCATTGCTGTGCGGACAAAAAACTAAACCACCAGCTCAGACCACAAACATGCTCTTCGCATCAACGACACTCGCCCTGGCCCTTGGCCTCGGCCTCGGCCTCACCGCCGCCTCGCCCATCGCCGTGGCCCGCGCCGGCGGCCCAGCCATCATTGACGGCAAGGCCTTCCAGCTGGCCGCCCGCGGCGAGCTGCGCCCGCTGGACCCAGACAACGCCGCCAACAACGCCTGGGTTCTCAGCATGCAACGCATCAGCCAGGGCGTCTACGCCTCGGTCGTGGTCCCGCGCCGGGCAAAGACCGAGAACCCGACCTTCTACTTCAACCGCACCGAGGCCGACGGCCGGCAGATGCTCAACATCGACATCCCGGGCGTCTACCCGCTCGTCGCCACCGTGGCCGGCCGCGACCAGGCCACCGACGGCGACCACCCGGGCGAGCACGTCGTGTCCTTTGCTCCCGCCGGCTCGGGCGGCACCCCGGGCATGTACTGGTTCTATCGCTCGCCCGAGTCGATCCCGCTGCTCGGCGGCGGCCCCGCCCGCGTCGGCAGCTGGGCCGTGTGCCGTCGCCCCCTGCCGCTGCCGAGCGGCCCCAAGGACTTCCTCCAGCCCCGCTACGTCTACGAGGACGAGGCGGTGCCGTCCGACTGCGCTCCCGTCGATTGGGTGGTCCTGTGCGCAGACCTGGTCCCGCTAAAGCCTGGTGACAACTGGAACCACGACTCGGTCGGTGATGTCAAGTGTGTCGCGCAGTAAGCCTTAGGGCTGGGCCAGGGTCAAACGTGACATCATCAGACACGGACGCTTTTGAAGTGGGCGGTGTACAGGGGCGCGCGAGACAGGAAACATCATGGGGATTTCTCTGTAAATAATTAATCGTAATCAATATTGTCAGCCCTTCTATTCCCCGTGTGTCCCTCAATCTTCCGTGCAATCAGACAGGCTCCAGGGAGAGTCGATCACAAGCGACAAGCAAAGCATCTCACTCACTAGGGTACCTAACGTTTCGTCCTGGTTGCTATCACCTGCTCTGGTGCCAAATGTCGCTCCCTTGTTTTCTCCCTGACATGCAGCAGAGGACGAAGGCCTTAGCTCCGAGCAAGCCTTCGGTAGCACTCCGCACGCGCAAGGTTTTGTTTCCAACGCGGCCACAGCGGGGCCCTTGACTTTGTTTCTTTTTTTCTTCTAACAGGACCGAATCGGCATCAATCTTGTCTATTTTGACGCGCTCCTCCATGAGCAACCCATGTGCCGATCCCAGCGCTCCCACGCGGAGCCCCGGGCTTGGACAGTCCATTTTTGGGAATCGAAAATGCTCCCCCAGTCTGGAAATAGAAGTATTCACAAACTCAACCCGCAGAGACGACAACACAAATGCGGCGCTCTCCGACCTCGACAGGTCTTGTAATTTCCCCTCTCCATCATCATCCACTGATCTTCACATCCTCTCCTCTACATACCCACCAACCACCTCGATCCGTTGGCGACAGCTTCTTGCCTTGCTCTCCATTTCATCCAATCGACAAAGACACAGCCCACCCACCAACCTTCTCCCACACATTCAACACCACCAAAGCAAAAATGCACTTCTACGCCGCCGCCCTCGTCACCCTCCTGGCCGCCACCCAGGTCGCCGCCATGCCCCTAGCCGCCGACAGCGACGCCACCGCCGTCCGCATCGCCAAGCGCACCGTCGCCGCCTCCACCGCCGCCGCCGCGCAGCCGCTCGTCGCCCGCGCCGAGGTGGCCGACGAGGCCGCAGACCCCGCCGACGAGGAGCCCGAGCAGGTCGCCCCGAGGCTAACCACCCGCCGCGCCAGGAAGCCGAAGAGCGTTGAGAGTGGCCATCCCAGCTTCATGTGTGCGGCAACGGGTACTCCAACTGCTAGACGGGCGGCGGCTGCTGTCCCTCCGTGCTGGCGGCGCCAAGAACAAAGCTGGCCCGCCTTTCTCATCTTTATTGGCGTTAGAATTCGTGGTAGCCTGGAGTTTTTGCCTTTACCGTTCTATTCAGGCCATCCTTTGGTTTACCTTTTTGCAGGTTGTCTTTTCGTTTTTTTGGGCGACTTCTTCGTTTCCCAGCACAGTTTTTTTTTTTTTTGCTGTTTGTCAGCGTCTAGGTCGTTGCATTCTTTCATCCTTTCGCCATTGCATTGCGTTATTGTTGTTTCAATTTCAACTTCTGTTTATTTTCCCCATGAAATTGTGCAGGGATTTTTTCCCCATGTTTCCCTACTCGTGCTTTATCGACCACTACGCCATACATTGCTACAGTCGTATCCAGCACTGTCTTTTTGAAGAGTTTCACGATCGGCCAAAGTCCAGCGGACGCCAGAAACAAAAGACTTGAAGATATCCCTATGCAGGTAGCTCCCCTTAGTTCTGCCTCGGGGCCAGTTTGGTTCTCGGGGGTCTTCAGGACGGCGCCGTCCATGTTTTCATACCTGATTTATAAAGTGTATCACAGGCACAGATGCAAGCTTGAAGAGACAGAATTCCTTGCGATGGATTTGGGGGCAGGCGTGGCTACACATTGCAACATGTAATTACCAGCACGGTGGGTATGGAATGTTATGGATAGGTAATTAGTGGATGGACCCCAAAGCCCGGCCTCATATCCGCTCTCCCCCGCGCGCTCTCCCGGATCTCGGGATCGGGGATCCGTATCCCGCTGCAGCCCAAATTCGCCAACTAGTTTCGCAACCCCTCCCCTCTTGACGAACGTGCCCTTCCTCTTGCATGGCCATCCACCTGTTCCCTCTATATAAACCCCCGTCTCCTTCTTCTCTCCTTTTTAGCATCTTCCTTAAGCATCTCTTGAGATCATAAAAAGATCAGTAGCTTCAATCAAGAGAACAACCCCTTCAAGCCTGCATTTCTGCACCCTTGTGACATGGCGAGAGTCGCAAGCATCTTGTGCCGCAGCTCCTTCTGTAACCAGGCTTTTTGTGGAGAGGCGCATCGTGAAGAGCCATCCAACACTTGGATTCGGAATGAAAAGACAAACGTTGGGAATTTGGCAAGTTAACTGTCGACCGATATAATCCTGATCCAGGTGCTCTCGCAAAGGGTATAAAGGTATGGCCTTGCAAGTAATGGCCAGCCGGTACCGAAAGTAATGAAAGGATAAGGACAGGAGCTGCACATGCATGATGTATCAACACGCTTTTCTCGAGCCTCCTATTGGGTCCCGACCGAGAATGCTATACCCCCTATGCGCTCCATCTTGCTCGCCATGATTCGCTTGGCAAGACATCTCCGGTGCCCGCCTTCGACCATAGCCTCGACCATCATCTCCTGGATGGTCTTTGGGATAGTGATTGGGTTGCCATTGACCCCTGATTTGATAAGTGCCTTCTTGGTATTGTTCGGGAGGTTGCGGATGGCCGGCGAGGCCAGAGCCATGAGCATTACCGCCCGATTTTCGTTTTTGTGGTCAGCTTTTCGAAGATGTCGGTGGTTACGAAGCACGATACCAGGTGGCTGATGTTTTCTTTATCCAGGGTTGGTATCTGCCCCTGCTTCGCTGTATAAAAACTAGTCTTAACACTAGAAAGTCACAAAGATGAAGTGCTACATGTTGCAAAAAAAAGCCGCGCATGTAGTAGATTGGGGACTTGATAAACTTCTGCTTTAGAGGCTAGGAATCGCAGTGAGGGTGGGAGGCCTTCGGCCTTGGTGCTAGTATCCTAGCTACGTACTAACTGCACATGGGTTCTTAGGGCCCAAAGAGACCCTTCAGAAAGAGAGAGTCTACCAAAGAGCCTAAAGGAATGGTTGTCGTTTATATAAGCGGGAATATGGGGGAGGGAGCTCCTTAGAGTGCAAGCTTTATAATTGAAAGTAGTGTTGTGCATAGGCAATGAGAGGATACCCAACTCCACCCCCATTTCCGCTCTCTTGCACGCGCTCTTCCGGATTATTACTCAAACGAGCCATCGAAAGAGAACGCGATACCGCCGATTCGCTCCATGTTGCTCGCCATGATCCGCCTGGCCTCGTGCTTGCGAAGTCCACTCCTCTTGACCGCGTCCACCATGATTTCTTGGATTGTTTCCTGAATGCTTATTGGATTGGCATCCATTCCCAATTCAATAATTGCCTTCTCGATTTTATGCGGAAGCTTCCTTATTGCCCGCGAGGCCAAGGCAGTGAGCATCTGTCCCTGCTTGTCATTTTTATGACCGAGTCGCTTGAAGATGCCGGAAGTGGTGAAGCCGGCCACCAGGCGGCCGATGGCCTTGGCTTTCGTGTCGAGCGAAGTGCTGGTCTCCGCCATTTTCTATAATTTAAAACAATCGTCAGCAACAGATGGCCTTAATCAATTATTGCATATTGTGCGGTAGAGTAAAGCGGCCAGCTGGCCGCTATGAAGACCCCACGATGGGGAAGGAAAGAAAACAAAAGCTTCGCAAACAAAGAACGTAATCTCGCAGCCATATTTGACCGCAAATTTGGGAGACGAATGCTAATAGTGAAAAGGATCTGGAAAAGGCCAAGCTCACCTGGCAATTTGTTGGATTCGCAAAGGGGTTTGCTTCTTGTGCGTTTCTCTTTTGGCTCCGGCAAGGGTATGTGCGCCCACGATCTGGTTGGGTAGAAATCGCCAAGGTCGAAAGGAAGCTGCTGTGAAGGTATTCCAGCAAGCTGTGGGGGAGCATTGCGAAGGTTGTGGAAAAGAAGAATTTTGCAACGTTTAGGCTTTGTGGGTGGAATACTGAAGGAGGAAACCGGAATCCACAGGCGTTGCACGGACCAAAATAAGTGGGGTGTGGTTGGCGTCGCAAGACGCGTGTGTTGCTCGAAAGGGCCTACATACAAACTGCCCGTAATCCAGGTGCAAATGCAAATTTGCAGGGATGATTTCATCTAGGCTGTCGAAGAAATGCTAAATGTAACAAAGCCCTTTTGCTTCAATACAGATAAAAAGTTTGGCTATATATGCCTTCCTGTCGCCCGTGAGTGCTATCCCGTCCGTTCCGTGTATACAATTGGGGGTGGACCCAGCTTTTGATTTTTTTTTGCCAGCGTTAAAGTACAAACGCCTGCAGTCATAGCCCATTGTGAACAACCCCGTTTAATTAGGTGAAGGGGCTAACCAAAAATGCGATGTTACCGATCCGCTCCATATTCGATGCCATGATCCTGCGCGCAAGCTTCTTTGGCAGGCCACCTTTAATCATTTGCCGCACCATTATCTCCTGTATTGTTTCCTGCATCTCCACTGGATTCGCTTCCTTTCCTAGCGCGATGATGGCGGCTGTGACTTTGCGGTGCATCCTCCGGATAGCTGGTGAAGCGAGACTCACAAGCATCAAGTTTTGCATCTCGTCATTGTGTCACAGTCGCTTGAATATTCCCGTAGTGGAAAATCCAGCGATTGGTTGACCCACACCTTTGGCTTTCTGGCCGAAGGTCGAGGCCCCTGCGATTTGCTCGGACATCATAAACTCTTGTTACTGCTGGATAGTCGCAGAGATGAGCCGCCGGGCTTGCGGCTAGGGAAGAGAACGCGAATTTTGGAAGAAAAGATATCGATGAGGGTAAATGAACAAAACTGTAGCTGTGCAAGGACACAGAGAGGACGGTGCTTCGGAGGCCTCGCACGGCTGTAACGTAACTTTGGAGCGGGGAGGATAGTGGCAAAATCCAGCAGCAACGGCTGGCTTCGGGCTTCAAACTTACTTGTTGGAGTGGGAGAGCTTGGCGATATACCTTCTTGTGTCTCTTGGAATCTATGGAGAAGTCCTTCGGCTCGTAGTAAGGGCTGAAGGTAAGGTGGAAGGGGCGCTGCCGGGTACTTGTTCCTCGTCCTTGTTGATGGATAGGGGGAATGTATGTTTCTAGTTGATTGTTGCTCGTTCTGGTTGCGGGATGGAAGCAGGCGTTGCCGGCTGCTTGTTGTTGTCCTGGTTGAGCAAGTGATTTTGGGTCAACTAGTGCACAGTAGGCGCCCCAGCTGTACACATACCACTGCCATTTTTAGGAATGTTTGTGGATATTTAGGTATCTCGGGGCTGTGGGGGACTTCAAGAAGCAGTTGTGCCCTTTTTAAAAGAAATATTTTAACAAGAGCAAGGAGAGCTCGAATGTTGTTTGCCTCTAGCTAACATCTTCACGTCTTCCTACTAGCTCCAGTAATATAGGTTGTACTCTTATGGGACACGGAGATATACCCCAATATGGGTTTGTGTTTGTTCTTTTCCAAGCAAGAATAATCTAAATGCGAGGACTTGCGGGAGTCTTTAATTGCCATTTTCCCCTTTAATAACAGAAGGGCAATGTGGACAATGTATTAAAGAAGTTGATGTTGTCATGTTTACCTTGGCACGACGTCGATGAGTAAGGACGTCTTTTTTATATTAAGGGCTCTGCATTGCTATGACTCTCGGGCTTTGGACACAGTGGCCTGAGGCAAAGCTATTCTAGCTGGCTAGGAGGGGATGCTGCGACCAGATAAGAAAGAGAAGACTCTATGAATACAAACCCAGGTTCTTCCAAATGGAAGCAATCATTCTCAGGATAATTGATAGTAGCATCATCGAGTGACTAGCCCGATAGTAGCATACCTACGCAGCTGTTGACTGTCCCATGATGACTGCGGCGTTGCTGCCGCATCAATTGCACCTCGAACGATAAAACCAGCCAGTTTGGCCAATGATGTCAAAAAGAAAACCGTCCGCTCAGCGGAGCACAGCAGGAACACAACAGGAAATTGCTAAGCAGTTCCGAGACCAGCTAGCAAACTGGGTGCTGAGTGCGGTTGTTGTTTTCCTTTGCGAATGAGTGGCCATGAATGTGGGAGCTGATAAGGCTTGATGCGGGGCAGCCGGTCTGTGGGATTTCGTTTGTCGGGTGGCAGGGAGAGCTGAGTGGGGAGAGTGGGGAAGCTGAAAGTTGGGGCGACTGACCCAAGCCGAGAGCTGGTATCTTGGCGCTGTGGTCGAGCCTCCATCACTCTTCAAGGAGGCCTCTTCAAGGATAAAAACCGACTAGGTCCGTCGTCGAGCGCCGCAGTAGCTCCAGCACAAGACACTAGTGGCCTTGGCCGTGTATACGCTAGCAGCCCAGCCATCCGCCTATCGGTGGTCAGTGGTAGCCCGTGTCGACTGCTGAGTCCATGCTTTCAAATTGTTGGGCTTCGCTGATAGAGGTGGACGGAGAGCGCTGCCAAGCAGCCGTGGTTCCTCGGCAGAGCGAATGACAGCGCGAGTGAGACAATCGGTATCGAATATTACTCGTCTGCATCTCAGTCAATTTCCTCGCCCTTCTACCACGATCTGCCGATCTCCCAGCCACGTGAGGAAGGTCGTCGAGACAGGGGGAGTCAGGGGCAAAAGGCTGGTGTCGGGTGTGGCGGGATGACGTTGGGGTGGGGCGGGGGAGGATGCGGCTGGTCTAGCGTTCGCCGGGAAGCTTGGAAATGAACTGGGTGCCGCTGAATCCAATCATCTCACCCCACCTACACTTCTGGACCTGTGTTGGTGCATCCAGCCGCCCAGTCTCTCCCACACAACGGGCTTCCCACCCGCGGGCGCCGCGGGTCGAGTAAGCGGCATCCCGTCACCAATGCGTCGCCCTTTACGCGTCGCCCTGCTACCAGTCAGCGCAGCCATCGGATCATACTAGCCGAGTCCGGTGGCCTCATCAGTTATGGCCTGTTTCAGTGCCCTGGCTCGTGATGCATCGTGCCTGGCGATCCTTCGGTATTGGAACCCACCTAGCATCCTCGCCATGATGGACTTTATTCCTTGTTCTGGCCCTGGCGGGAGCTTCAAGCCTGCCAGCTCTGCCATTCTCAAATCGTTCGTCTTCCCAGCTAAGCTGACAGCGGGGGAAGCCCAAACCGAAAACGCTCAGACTCCCCGACGGCCGTCCGACGATGACCCCTGTCGATCAGAGGCCTTAGCGCAGCCGAAAGCGCACGGCGAGCACAGGCGGGAAGGGTTCCGTGGGTCTTGGCCTGCTTCTTTTCCTTTTCTCCCCTGCGGCTCTCCTCGTAAAAGCCAAAAGACGTCGTCCCATTAGCGCATAGGTGGTGTTTGACTTTGTCGCGGCCGAGGGTGAGGCTCTTGTTCGGATGCACCCAAGCGGTCATCGAGGAGATAAGCGAGCAGGTTGGGGGCGAGGGCCAGAGTGACACCAAGCTGGGCAGGAGGGCATGGCCATCCTGGCAAAGGAGCTTAAAAAAGGTTCACAGTTCCCACCATCACGGCCAGCTCGTTCGAGAACCAACAGCGGCGGCCAAGCTTTTCGTTTGCCTTGATTGGGGTGTTTCGTTTCAGACACGGCAAGATCGGTTGAGGACAGGCGTAGCAGGCGACTAGCTCCCACCAACCACGCCGTGCGGGGCGGCGATCGTCTTGTGACTCGCCAGGGGGGTCGACAAGGATCCCTCCAAACCTCTTCCCTCCCAGCCACCCTCCTCGGCAGCTTGAGCAAGAGGCATGTTCAAAAGCCGCACTAGAGCCCCTTCAGCTGCTTGATGCACATCCCCTCCTGCTGCCTAGCCCACCACTCCGCCATGATACAATGAGCCGCATGCCACCAGCCAGACTGAATACGAGAGTTATAACCGGGACGAAAACTCGTCCCGACAGCACGTGAAGACGGGAATGACCCGAGATAGAAGTCACTACGACGCGGCCTTCCCCCATCGAACTCCGAGGCTGACCCAGGCACGGGGCTCGAGCACCAACTCACAGAACGACTAAACACCCGATAACCAACCTTGAGCGAAATAGCAGTCTGCCACCAACCGTGGCGGCGACCGGTTGGGCGGGTGGCCACATGATCACATGAGCCCCCGAGAGCCATCAGCACGACACAGGCGGCAACGGCTTCCACCACTTGAGTCCATTCAAAGAAAAGAAAAAACACCCGCCGCGCTTCCCTGAGCGGCCGGGTCGACCAAACCCAACCCTGATCTGCCAAAAAACCATCCACCGTGTCGCCTCTACCAAGCGAAGGCGCGGCGACGGCGGCCGCGGCGACGGTGACGGTCGTCATCTCGCACACGCCGTCGCCGGGCGGGGACGGGAGCACGTCCCCATCCGACCTCTACGATGGCCACCGCTCCGCCAACATGGTGCTCGTGGCCACCTTCTGCGGCATCTTTGGCCTCGTCGCCGTGGCCGGCACCGTCGTGCTCCTGTGGAAGCGTTGCCTGAGCCGCAGCGTGCGGGAGGAGAAGCAGCTACTGTCGGAGATAAAGCTCAAGGGCAAGGAGCGAGAGATGGACGGCACCGCGGCGGCGGCCGGGGGCTACGACCTCGGCGGCGTCATGAGGGTGGCTGCGTTCCCCGGCCCACGCGCGACGCTGACGACGGCAACAACAAGCACGATCCTCACGCCCCCGGCCGCAAGAGCGCCGGGGATATCGAGCCACTACCGCGGAGGGGACATCGAGATGCCAGCGAGTGAGGAGAAGAAGAGCCGTCGATGGTGGGGCTGGTGGGGAGGGGAGAGCGCGAGGTCGTCGGGATACGGCGGCCGCGGCGACGAGGACCGCGGCGCGGCGACAAACGTGGCAGAGACAGGGCCGGTGTGGGGAGTCACCCCGCCGTGGGGTGTGGCGGATCTGTACGACCCGACGCGGCCGACGACGCGAGGCGACAGCGACGGCGACTCGATCCGGCCGGACCCGCGTCGCATAACGCTGCCGGGGACCATGTCACGCACGTTGCCCAAGATCGTGGCCCAGACTCCGCATCGTGGGGGCATCGTGGGCGGGCCGGGGTACCGGCCCAGCGTCCGGCGTGGCGCAAAGAGGGAGTCGTTCCTGTCGCGCGGGAGGGCGCGGACGCGGTTCGACCCTGACAATGTTATATGAATCATGACGGATTTTAATGTGCCATACTATCCTATAGGTGTTGATTCCCGAGGGAGGAGCTTTGGCAAGGCTGTACATATTAAATGGGTTGGCTCGGTGGGTTTCGTCGTTTACGCAGCGTTGTATTTGGAGCCTGGCTCGGGTAGAGCCTCATGGCAAGTGTTGATTATCTGTAAATGGAGGCAATGAACCAATGAGGAGCAGCTTGGCATCTCCTGATCCTTTGGAAGAGATGAAACGGAAACAAGCAGAAAAAAACGCCCAGGCCCAGCACTCATCGCACCCAACTGTGTACCGTCACCAATTCCACATGTGACTCTGGCACAGGAAAAATCATTTGATTCACTGGAACGCCTCTAGGCCAGCAGGTCACAAGCAGCTTGATCGCTGGCCCTCCACGACCGTTTCTGTGGTCCTGGCAGAGGCTCACCAGTGCGTTTATGATGCGTTGAAACTTGTCCTCCCAGCCCGATTCGGTTCGCTCGTAGAGTGAGGCCTCATCCACGATGATGTAAAGGGTGATGTCTGGGGCTATCTGGCTGACAAGCTGTGTCAAGAGGTCAAGCAGATTCCTAATCTGGTATCCGCTCACGTCGTGTTCGTCGTCGGGGGCCGCGAAGTCGCCAAGCAGAACGCCCCTCCCGCCCCCAAAGTCCAAGTCGGGCTCGCTGGCGCGGTCTGGGCCCCACGGCAGGAACTGTACCAGGAGCTGGCCGACCAGGCTGCGCAGCATGCCCCGGGCGCCCGCGAACGACCCCCTGGAGTCGGCGTGGAGGTTACAGGCGAAGAAGACCACGGCGGCCGTCGCGACGAAGGCGGTGCCGCCGCCGCCGCCGCCGCCGCCGCCATTGCCGCCGACCGGCTCGTGCGGGGGAATGCAGTGCGCGCAGACGAGGTCCGAGGCCACCGAGGCGCAGAGGACCGAGTAGGGCGTGACGGCGCGGCCGCCCTGCGCCGCCAGCACGTCGGCGGGCGAGAAGCGGGCCTCGACGAGGACGGCGCCGGACTCGCGGGGCGTCTGCCACCAGCGCTGGAACCCGGGCGAGTCCTGCACCTGGTGCGCGAGGGCCATGGGCTCGTCGCCGGACGCCGCCGCCGCGTCGGCAATGTGCTCCATGTCGTCGACGTGCGTGTCCGGGGCCTCGGTCCCCCTGAGGAGGAGGCGGTGGAGGCTGCGGCGGTCGATCCGCCCGTCGCCGACGGGCGCGGCGCTTGGGTTCGAGGACATGCTTCTATGGCGCTGCTGGGTGTAAAAAAGAGGCTGTGGTTTGGGCTCTGGCCAGCCCTTGAGCCAGCAGGAGATTTCTTTAGGATGTCTTGCTGGTAGTGCCACTTAAATAGCTGGTGCTGTCGAGACTGGAATATTGCGTCACTCCCGGGGCCATTCAGTAGAGACTGTCGAGTGATTTGGTGGGGATGATTAACGTTGGCAAACGGTCGGGTCACTTCTCCTGTAGAGCCAAAGTGAACGTGGTATCTACTTCTTTGGCTCGCGCGGGACGCTTCTCGGTTCTGGAATCACGAAACACAATCCAGAGGCACACGGATACAAGTTATGTGGAACACTGGAAGTGGCTGCTCATTGGTAGCTACCTTGGCCCATCCCGTCTTTCTTCATATTGCTCGTCTAATTCTCCTCGTTGATCGTCAGGTCCTGCGCCGTACCTTGTAATCGACAGCGGTTCAGGGAAGCGAATTCACCGCTAGATGCATTGCTGGAAAGAGTCGCCCCTGTCAACCGGGCGTCTTTTGCCAAGAGAGGTGCCTACGCAGCCTCCCTACGTCAGCGATGAAGCCTGGAGATGGCACGCCGCTGATCAAGACGCACAGCTGTCACGGGAACGTAGCTTTGGCCTTTGGTGATACGCAATACGTCGAATATCTCGCACTATTGATGGTCCGCGGTATTCTTCACTAGGTAGTCGCTCCCGGGAAGTAGCTGCGAACTCTGTAGTGATTACAGGTGACGGCCAGGTCTACATGAATGGCGGGGACGTGGGATAGGTGGTCGCCGGGAAGAAAGGAAAGCCAATTGGGTGTGCAGGGAGCTCAAAAAGGCTGGACAGCCTCTGTTGAGGACAAAGAATACGCTAGGAAGAAGCCGAATGAAGTATACACAGCTATCTAGGACTCAAGAAGGAACAAAAGGTTGTGGAGCTATGGTGACGGCAAGCATCACGCTTGGTGTCGCGGGGTCGGTGGCTTGTACGGGCGCTTTACAATGGGTAGCAGTACGACGGGAGATCATCCAGAGAACTAGGTATCTACGTCCGCGTGCCTCCAATGCCTTGGCAGAAAGGGCATTCTCCGGGGCTACAGGGAGGGCCATAGCGACTGTGGCGCCCGGCACCGCGCCTGTTTCCCACTCACCGGACTAGACTGCCGGTTGGCGGCGGGCGGCAAGCGAAGCAGGGGAAGGAAGGGGTCAAGCAGGGGCGGAGGGATGACGATGATGGCGAGGAGTCGGGTAATGTATGTCGGGGTCCCCTCACCCCCAACAACAAAATAAACGGCAGTCCGTGCCTGCTATTTTTTTTGTGGGCGTGCCCCTGCAGTAGGTGTATCCACTTGCGGCTCGTGCGGGCGGGGTTTGAAGGTGGGGCATCGACTTTTGGCCCCCCTATTTTCGCGACGCGTAACGCTATGGGGCTAACGGCGTTCACGACGCGCGGTCAGGTGACGGCTCATGCGCCCAGCAAACGAGTCTCGCGGCTTGATCGCTGCAGCCTCACTGTCGCAGGCCAATCATCTGGGTGTCGGATGTCAAGGCGGGTAGACGCTCCAGCAAGCAAGGCAATTGGCTTGACTGCTCGGGTCTCTGCATCGAATTTGGTGCCCGAGGGATAGGAGTGGGGTGGATTCCTGGAGCTGCCTCCCGCAATGGAAGCATCAGCCTTTGTCTGCGAGCCACAAGGCAGGAGCGACCTGGATAGCTCCACCACTGTGCGAGCAGATGGTAGGCGGGCAGCGAGCTGGTAGCCTGCTGGGACAGATATCGTCCGTATACTGGCTGCCCGTCTGGCTGGGAGTACCATCCACCACCCACCCACTCTTTCAGAGCTGTCCGTTTCCGCCTTGGTCAACTCGTGCGTCCAAGATCTGCAGCGCGGTTTGCTGCAGAGGAGCCTTAGGCGAAGCCTTCACGTTTCCATATGTTGTCTGTTTGCTTCCCGTCTTAAAGACACAGTGCACCGGCAGTTTACGCACCTTGTTAGGCATCAGGCGCCGTTCTGAAGTCCACCACCCGCCCAGGCAAGCCTTCCCGCTGCGCACCCATTTTCTCCACTCTCTTCACCTTGTTTTTACCACACATCTTCTCTTTCCATCTTGCCCTTTTCCCACCTGCAAACCTGTTCTTCCGCTATTACCCTTGGACCCTTCCTTTCCTCTTTTCGCTGTGCATCTTCGGTCTTCCATCTTTCTCCTCGCTTCTTTTCTACCAACCTCCTTGCGTCGTTCTCCTTCAATGTCTCGTCTTGCTTAATTCCTTGCCGGAAGATCAAGATGAACCGCGGGATGGCGGATGGCGGCAACAGGCGCCAGCCGCACCTGATGGTGCAAGATGCGCTTGTCAACCACTTGGCCATGCCTGTTCGACTGCCTCAGCAGGTACAGTATAACCCGCCAGTCCTAGTACTACTCCACTCGAGGACTTGCTCACAGCTGTTCCCTCTTCTAGCAAGATGCAAGCATTGCCAATGTCGAGGCCGCGCTCCTCGAGCGGGTCATCCTAGCCACCAAGACGATGCGTCAGGGCAGCCACCATCTATTGTGGGAGTCGATTGACCGCTCCTTGAAGGCATCAGCCAACGTTGCGTCTTGTGGCAGACTGGATAGATCTGCCTTGATCAACGAGCTACGCCATGTAACCTCGGTGGCATCGTCGGACTTTCTGATCATCTACGTTCGTGGTCAAAACGCCGCCATCTTCATTTAGTAGGACCTTGCCCCAGCCTTCAAAGCCTTTCTTGTCCGAGGAGCTCTTGAGTAACTAACATCATGCAGCCGTGGCGACCGCAAAGATGTCGTCTTTGAGATCTTCGAGGCATCCCCCAAGTCCGAGAGCGTCCTGGCGGCTGAAGATGTTCTCACCTGGGACTTCCCAGGAGGGGCCATCTCGGTGCCCCACACGCGGTTCACTGATAAGGACTTCCTCAACCATCTCGTCGAGTTTCTCGATACAGCCTCGCACGCCGAGCCTACCAAGGCGTTTGCCGCGTCGGCTGTCAAGGCGGGATCGTCTCATGTCGAGATCCGTGACACTCCGGACCCTTCACTGATCTCTTCTATGCTGGCTGCCCTTCTTGAGGCAAACGGTAGGCGGATCGCGCCTCCAGTCCTTCGAAAGCGGGTTCGCGACGATGTTTGCTTTACCAGCGGAATGCCTTGGCGACGCCTCCCCCTTTGGCTGATCTTGAGGGTCTGCGTCCGGCGTTTTCTGGGTATTGGCCTCGGCGAGAGAATTGGTAGGATCGAGTACAAATTCTTCATTGCGCTTGTCCTGTCAAACCTGCTCCAGGAGGTACTGGACACATCATCACCTGATCGAATCTCGCATCTCAAGGCAAAGCTGTCGATGCGACTGGTCAAGCTGGACACAGACCACCACAACGCCCAAGGCGACACTGACCGAGCACGTTTCGAGCAACTATTCCGTGATCTAGAGCCACTTTTTACACGATCAGTTCAGCTCGCGTCCAACCACCTGACAAGTTCTTGGTCCGGGTTCGTAATGGACACGACGAGAGCTGTGCCTGAACTCCCACGGCGTGCGACCGAGGATGATACGAAGGTGCGTTCCATCTGTTGGATATTTCCGAACTATTGCTCTATTCCTGACGTAACCACTAAACCCAAAACATAGATGAATCTTCTCCACAGCGGCGTCTATCTCCATGGCGCCATGGATCGCTGGAGGCAAGCATGCCGTGACCCGCGTAGAGCGTCCGCCCGACCGCATGACGATTCCACACAAAATCTCAGCGACTTGCCTCTCCCATACTTCAAACTCTCTTCCCTGGAGTGCCAGGCAGAAAAGCTGTGTGATCAAACGCCGGATTTCGCAAATGTTGAGATGGTCGGTGATCGCTGCCGAGCTCTGTCTAAATTGATACTTGACTACCTGTCCAAACTGGGAAGCCACTACGACGGCTATATCGAGCAGAAGAGCATCGCTATTCTGACTGTGATGGAGCTGGTATGTCCCCACGGCTGTTTCCACATCCGCTGCTCCGACCTGGCGGCGGCTCCTATCCTCCTCCTTTCGACCCCCTCCTCCCTTGCATGGGCCCCTAGAATTAGTAGATGGAGATTCGCTAATTCTATTCTAGTGGATTCAACTCGACTACGCTGCATGCGTTCGATTTCCCTTGCTGTCCAGCTTCCACCCTCTTTTTGTTCCTTCGTCGCTTGACGTTCTGTATCTGCCCAAGTATATCGACATGCAGAGGCTCCAAGGCATCCAGGGCTATCTCAGGCAGCGCATTGACTCATGCGCCGAGAGCCAGTTCACGATTTTCGAGGACCCTCAGCCTGGGTGCTTCGCACACGAATATTTCGACGCGGCCCCGGATTCCGCTCGATTACAGGAGATTCGGGAGGACATCGTACGCCATGCAGAGAGGGATCGAAAGGAAAAGGAGCAGGAGTGGGAGCGCAAAAGCCGCGCCTTCGAGCGAATGTCGAAAGAGGTACAGGTCGGGACCTGCCTTTTCACTGATGGGGATCGGCTGGATGCTTTCGGCCACCAGATTCCGCCCAGGCACCATCCCAACTGCCCTCGGTGCCATACCAGGGCAACCATGGATCGCATGCGCATAGACATCGTCGAGGACCCTCTACCGGAGGACGAAACAATGCAGAAAATCGTCGTCTTCGAGCTTGGAGTCTTTGACGGAGCAGCAATCTTCACCACGTACCGGGACACCACTTGGGCCATTGTCTCGCAACTCGCTTCGATGTCCAAAGATCAGGGTGTCCCTCCTCGATGCACCATCCGTTCCTACACTAGACTCGGGAAGTTTAACTCGCAGTCTCAGAGCGATGTTGTCCTTGCATCGACGACGAAATCATTTCTCGCCACGCACTATCGGACAGTCCCACTTCCTGTCGCTCTAGAGGATCTCCTGAAGCCAAACGGTCTTCGGTACACGTACTATGATCAGCTATCCAAGTTGTACCCTAGTCGCAGCTCCGTCATCGTTCGCCACCCGTCTTTTGCACATCACTGCCGACTTCCATTGGCCAATACGCCCTTTTCGGCCATTTCTCAAGCTTTCCCTGCGGATAAGCCTGGCCCATCGTCGTACGAAGTCGTCGCGTCCCAAGCCAGCTGCCCCCAGGGCCTCAACATGCACGAGTTCCTTGCTTTTCAGACACTCCTCTCTGGTAATGCTCGGCGCTGGATCTCTTTGCTAGCCGAACTTGGTTCTTCAAACCTGAATTTTTCTAGCGAGGCTACCCTAGTCCTTGTCCGCTTCGTTGCACTCCAAGCCGGCCCGCTAGGGGATACAGATGATACCCTGAGAGTTGCCCACGGGATATTGCGCGAAGAATCGTTCGGCTGCAAGCTACTCGAGCAGCTATCCCATCGACTGACGTCAATCTCGACGAACTGGCGAGAGGTGTTCGTGATGGATACCATCATCACGCTGGCCTTGCGGCTTTACGAACTTACCGAGGAATGCTCCCACGCAGTGCACTTCAAGGCCTTGCACCTCCTAGGATCTGCCAGGCAGACTGCGCTTGGTTGGATGACCCTCCTACGCGAGGAGACGCGGAACGAGAAGGACGCCGACATAGCTCGCCGGGTGCAGCAATATGCTGTGTGGGCAGCGCTGCTGTGCCGGAGAACCTTTGCCATCCACGCCGATCAGCTCACGACCCTGGATACAGAGTCTCTCGGGATGTTTGTGGAATGTAGCATCACCCTACAGAACAATCTTCCCAGCAACATCAATTCTTTTCCCTCCCTTCTGAAGGAGGCTGTCATCACCAACTTCAAGCTGGGGCACCGACTCCAGCCACTGGTCCTGCGATCGATCGAAACTGAGCCAGTTGCTTTTGTTTCCGTCCTATCACCGTTTTGGCCGCCAGCTAAAGATGCACAGCCTATCGGGCTGACGAACCAGGCCAACCAACCTGGTTGGGTTTCGTTCAATGTGACCATTACGGCTTCGGAGGATACGAGAATGCGGATGCAAACAATCAGCTACCACATCACCCAGGGCCTACTGCTCGTGGACAGTGTCCCTGTTGGCAAGCTGCCCTCGAGCCACCAGAAGGATCCGCAATTAACTGCCCTGCTGGGAAATCAGTCATTCCTAACGTACCCAAGCTTCTTGCCAGACATGACATACCTGCTTTCCATCAGGCCGGAGGGTAAGTGCATTTGTTTCCCCAGTCTGCTTTTCTCCCATGCACTTCTTCCGTACCTATAGATGGAACTCGTGCCTTCTCCTGGGACACGACTACCTGTAGTCGCTCCCTCCACGCTGCCAGTCTTCTCGGCAAAGAAATTTTGTCCACTGGCTAACACTGTGCTATTAGATCACGAGATTCACGTTGGGTTTCTCAACGGTGCCTTGGTGGTGCGGGCTCGCAAGAACGGTAAGATTCTCGAGCTAATCGACAAGAATATTTTCGGAACAACAAGCTCTTTCGATCTCCCGGGACCTCTCCTTGCAGGCTGTTTCCATTGGCTCGATCTAGCAACTGGCGAATTGGAAGTGCGTCCAGCATCTCTGCGTTGGCACTCTCGGTCGAGCAATTGGCACCTTGAGCTCAAGTCCGGGCGATGCTATCGGACTCTTCCAATGCCAAATTTCTTGAGGCAGCAGACGATGGCCAAGTTTGGTGCTTGCCCGCCCTTTCTCGAGCTGAGACTCGTCAGCCCACACGTGCCCTTGTTCCACCGAGTGGCTCGAATCGTCGAGGGAGTCGAGGCGCGACGGCAAATCATCGTGTCGCAGCCAGCTCTGGCGAACCGCAGTCTAGAGGTGGACTTGCGAGGTATTCAGCTGCGCCTCTACGTTACCAAAAAGCGCCTCTACTGCCGTCAGCTCGATTCTGTCATCGACCCTTGCCAGAGCATCGGCACCTGGAATGGCCTACGCAGCATGCTTGTCTTCAAACATATCCAAAGCAACGTCAGGACTGTCCTCGTCCCTCTCGGGGACCTCAAGGTCGAGCGCACTGGCCCATATGTGCAGGTGCGGGTGGATGCACCAGATTCGGCTGTGGGCAAATTCGTGGTCAACGATATGCTAGGATGCATGGATTGTGCCCCTGAGCCGACTTTGATCCTGAAGAAGGCTGAGCTGGTTAGTTTTGCGATTCACCATGTCTCGATTAGGTTTTGCTAACCGGCCTGATAACGTTTAGCATGCGATGACTTCTTTTGTTCTTCCCGACACTCTGACCGGCCGAACAGGGACCGAAGAGGCCCTTGCTATCCTCACGTCCGGGGCCGCCCAGCCCTGGCAACCTCTCGGGGTACCGCAGTTGAGAATTCTCAAGTCCCTCACCAGCTTGACGCCCAAGCGTGCCTACTATCCCGATGAGTCCATCAAGACACTGAAGACGGAGCACTGGAACGTCGGTCTGACCCCATCAATCCAACATGAGGATTTGATGGGGGTTGTCGACGGCATATTCGCTAGGTCGGAGCGCTTGAGGCAATTCTTCAATCCTCCGATGCATGCGTCTTCGGCACTACCCCCAGCTGGGCCTGTTTGTACGTGGTCACCTCCCAGTCCCTACCCACGATACAGAGGCAGCGATCGGTTATATTAAATGTGTGAGCGTCCATGTACTAAAGCAAAGCACCCTACTTTCCTCCGCAGCCTCGGCTAGCCCTCCGGATCCGTTGCTAGCAGTCCAAGAGGAGATAAGGAACATACAGACGGCGAACTCTTGGCATCTAACCGCACGAGCCTCCCTCCGTCGCCGTCGCCATCACAGACAGCTTCCAATTCATGCCTCAGAGAGGCCTCCTCGAGACAAGGAGTACATTTCTAGAGATCGTGCCACCGTTTCGAACATGGCATATTCCAACGTCCTGGAAATCGTGTCTCTTGTCCGAATGTGGCCTCAGAAGATGAAGACAGCACAAAATCTTGTCCGAGTGCTGTCCGAGTCCTCGTCCATCAAAGGCTTCGACACCCCTTTCGACAGTGTCCTCCTCACTGACCGGATCGGGATGGACGTCGCCCGTCACTGGGGGTCGCTCATTGTGTCTGCAAAATCGCAAGCTTCGAACAAATCCGCCTTGATGTTCCTATTCGCCGGCGCTTCGTTCCGTTTCGATGCAAAAATGGATCTCATTCGCGCCATCCTCGGATTTGCCATGTACGAGGAACTTCGAACCCTCCCGACTCCAGCGTATTCCGAGTTTGATTGGTTCCGAATCGGCGAGATCCCAACTCCCGCCTGGTTGTTGCCCATGATTCGGCCCTTTGCCATCCCTCCCCCCAAGGACGACGCAGCGGAACAGCTGCAACAATTCCTGAGCGCGAAGGACCGACGCAAGCTCAAAGAAGCTGACGCCAAGCATAAGAAGCTGGCCCAAGAACATTGCATTCGAGTCACTGAATATCTGCTTGCTCAGTGGCCCTGTGCGACCCCGTCTATCGTGGGCCTCAACGACTGTGTCCTGGTGGACATTGACGGTGCCCTGAACGAGTTGCGCAAAGAATGGGCTAGGTTGTTCCAAAACCTTGAGCTTTCCAACCACCTGGCCCTGGTAGAGAGCCTTCTTCGAAAGCGGCAGACAAGCGAGCGTTTTGTCCTGCCGACGCAACCCTTGCCTGGTCAGACCTGGGCTATGCGGACTGCTTGTAATGAGCTTCCAAGTCTCAAGGAAGACCTGATGCGTCGTCCATTCCGCACACCCAACAAAACCCAGCAACATGCCAACTCTCCCACGAGCGTCATCATCCCCAGCGAGCGATGGAATCACGAGCGGAACCAAAAGTTTGGATTCACGGCTCCCGCACACCACCACGGCGGGGATCGTCCATTCCCCATGGAGCCCTCTGGCCCGCGTGGTTTTCGTGTCTTGGATCAACACGTGGCTAGGCGCCGTGGCACCGCGGCCGGTTCAAAGACCATCGACGAACTCGAGATCATCGTCCGCGACTCAATGAGCTATTGTTCCGGATCTCTGGTTCGCGAGAAGTACGCGCATGGGCTGTTGCAGAGCATTGGCAGTCTGAAGAGGAGGGATGCGCATGATTCAACTCCAAGTTTTCCCGAGAGTCCGCGCCACCGAGATACTAAAGCACTCGTTAATGACGTTCGGCAGTCATTTGACGCAATTTGCTCCTCATTTTCGTCTCCTCAGAACTGGGCCAGCGAGAGACGGATCAGGTGGCTGGAGCATGGTCGCCTCTGGCCTGTAGTCACACCCGCCACCGTCCTCCAACAGATTGGATCCATCAACAAGACCACGTTCGGCTCCGGTATAAAGGAGGCCATCATTCGCTACGGCCTAGCAATGACTTCGCTTCAGCGCCAGCAGCGCCTCAACGCCCTTGCCAATCGGACCTGGGTGAAGGTGACACACCACCAGGACCTACGGTACAAGGAGGAGCAGGAAAACACGGGTCACACCAACTGGGATCCTGCGGACTACCCCGACTGGCTGCTGCTAGAGATCGAGTCTAACCTGCTCATCCGACCTGACCAGATCGACGTGGCTTCGGCGACCATCAGTCCCCGAACAGGCACAAATTCGGTACTGCAGCTGAACATGGGCCGCGGCAAAACGAGCTGCATCATTCCCATGGTTGCTGCCATCCTCTCGAATGATTCCCTAACGAGGGTCATCGTGCCCAAGGCGCTCCTGCAGCAAACAGCGCAGCTACTCCAATCTCGCCTTGGTGGCCTACTGAGCAGGGAGCTTGCCCACGTGCCATTCTCCAGGCGAAGCCCGACCGACGTGGCAAATATTAAGGCATACGGCGCCCTCCATCGCGACTTGATGAAGAACTCGGGCGTCATGATCTGCCTCCCAGAGCATGTGCTTTCGTTTACGCTTAGCGGACTACAGAGGGTTCTTGACAACAGGTAAGGATGAAAGTGCCCTGTTTCAGGACTAGAAGATGCTAATACGGTTCTCAACAGAGTAAACGAGGCTTCCTTGATGGTAAAGACGCAATCCTGGCTCAAGTCAGTGTGTCGCGACATCCTGGACGAGTCTGACTACACGCTCAGCGCTCGGACACAGCTGATCTATCCCTCTGGCACTCGTATTACTCTGGACGGGCATCCTCATCGCTGGGTGGTTGCTGAGAAGGTTCTGCAGCTTGTGGATCTTCATCTGCATTCCCTTGCTGTGGTCTTCCCCGAGTCCATCGAGGTGGTCCGGCGACCGGGTGGAGGATATCCCATCGTCTATTTCTTGCGAACGGATGTCGAGATTGAGTTGACTCGGCGTTTGACCAAGGATATCTGCATCGGCAACGGTGGCATCTTGCCGGATGCCGGTCTAACCAAGATCGACCGCCGATGTATCAAGGAATTCATCTCCGGCATCAAAGTCCGGGAGTCCACTCTGACCCATATCCGAGGCTTGTGTCCAGACAAACTGCATATCCGGCAGACTGTGTACCTCCTACGTGGTCTGCTCGTCAACAGGATCCTAGTATCCTGCCTGCGCAAGAAATGGAACGTGGAGTGAGTCCGGCTGACCGCCACCCCCTCCGCACCAGCAACCGCTTATCCCTCGTTGCTAACTCATCATTGTCTGCAGATATGGCCTTCACCCACTGAGAGACCCGATTGCAGTCCCGTATACTGCCAAAGGGGTCCCATCCGAGCAGAGCGAATGGGGACACCCAGACTGTTGTGTCTTGCTTACGTGTCTGGCATTTTACTACAGCGGCGTTACCCAGACCCAGTTGACACAGGCGCTTGAGCACGTCCTGAAGTCGGACGATCCCGCCGCGGCGTATGATCGATGGACGCAGACAACAAAGAGGTTCCCAGACTCCCTCCGAGAATGTGAGTGCAGAACGCCAGCCCGCTTCGTTCCCACTCTCTCACGAGATGTCGATCGGAATAAAACAGCTGACTAGGTTCCAGGGAGCTCTATCAATGTCGACGATCATCTCCAGCTTGAGGCTATCTGGAAGGCAGTCCGCTACAACGTAGTCGTTATTGACTACTTCCTCAACAACCTCGTGTTTGCACAGCATGCAAAGCAGTTTCAGCTCAAGCTGCAGTCAAGCGGATGGGACCTGCCACTGTTCTCGACCAGCATTGACGCCCCACCTGGAAAGGCACAGTCCCGTGACACTACTCGGACGCTGACAACGGGCTTCAGCGGGACAAACGACAACCGAACCATGTTGCCCCTGAATATTGGGCAACAGGATCTGGATGGCCTCCAGCACACGAATGCCGAAGTGCTGACATACCTTTTAAGCCCCCGAAACCGCCACTACCAGATAATCGAAGACAACGACGGGCGACGCCTATCTGAGGAGGGATTCCTATCGCTGCTGGTGGACTACCGAATCCGCATCCTCATAGACGCTGGCGCACAGATTCTTGAGATGAGCAACGAGACTGTCGCTAGACGGTGGTTGGAACTGACGGAAGATGCTCCTGCGGCGCTCTACTTCGACGAGAGCAACAAGCCATGGATGATCTCCCGGATTGGGACCAAGACTCCTCTCCTCGCATCTGCCTACGCCGATGACCTGAGTCAGTGTCTTGTATATCTTGATGAAGCGCATACCAGAGGGACCGACCTGAAACTGCCACCCATGGCGAAGGGAGCTCTGACCCTGGGGCTTGGGCAGTCCAAAGACAAGACAGTGCAGGCGGCCATGCGACTCCGCCAGCTGGGACAGACCCAGGCCGTTGTCTGGTTCGCGCCGCCGGAGGTTCACTCGAGCATTCTGGATCTGCAGAAGAAGCCCGCAGGCAGCACGCTTGACAGCAGCGACGTGATCCGCTGGCTCTTGTCTAACACGTGCGACGGGCTGGAACAGCTTCAGGTACTTATACGACCAAGCCTTGACCGGTTCTTATCCAGTGCGATATACTAACCACCCACCCTCAGCCGCTTTACTATGCTCAGGGAATGGACTTCTCCAGACGCGTTCAGGCTGCCGTGGACAATCCCAGCTTTCTGACTGACCAGCGCCAGCGCCAGCGCTACGTGGCCTGCATTCGTCAAGAGGAATCGCAAACTTTGCAAGACCTCTACGAGCCCAAGGCGAGAAGCAAGGTTACAGGGCTTAGAGGCGCATCGGAGCCTTCCATTGCGTCGTTTGTCTCGCAGCTCAACTCGCAGAAGGCCACCTTCAGAGACACTGGTCATGCCGTGCATGCTTCGGTGCTGCAAGAACAGGAACGTGAGATTGCAGTCGAGGTCGCGTACGAGGTAGAATCTGTGCGGCAGGTCAAGAGGCCCCCACACCTGTCGCCGCTCACCTTCCCCGGCCTGCACCCCGACCTTGAGATGTTTGCACAGAGCGGACGCCTAGCCCAAACCTCGGTTTCTTGCCGTCGTGCCCTGGCATTTATATCGGACACGCGCGTCGGACGGGTTTCGGGTGTTTCTCGAAAGGGGCCTGGTCGTCTACTGATATCGACCGAATTCCAGAGGTACCTCACCCAAAGCTTTGGCTTACCTTCGATCAAGCATATGTGAATACTAATCAATGCGGACATGTAGGGCGGTTAAACAACAGCAATATGACGGCTACCAGAATGACAGCTGCCTCAGGCCTGTCAACTGGATCCTGTGGAGTCAGAGCACCGAGACTGCCATCGTCATCATCCCGGAGGAGGCGGAGCTCCTTCTTCCCATCGTTCGCAGCACTGATTCGCCAACATGGATCCTCACCTATGCCGCCCCTGTGACAAGGAAGATGCTTCACTTCAACCGTCTAGATTACTATGCCATTCCTGATCTCCCCGAGAAATGGAAAGCGCCTCCGTGGTTGACGGTGGAGCTGGGCATCTTCGCCGGCCGCCTCTACTTTGAGTGGGACGAGTACCACGTTTTGTGTCAGCTGGTCGGTCTGGATCCTTCTTCCAACTCGCAGGAGGATTGGGAAGACGATGGAGATGGGGACGAAGATGAAGATGGGAGAGCTACCATCGTCCAGACGGACGGCGTCACGTCCGATACACATCAGGAGGGCAAGAGCAAGTCGGCGGTTATTGCGACCAAGCCGCTCGTGTTTCTGCAAGATTGGCTCGCGCTTCGTCGACGCGGGCAAGACTTCGTCCACACTCCAATGGGACATGTGACGCAGAGCAAGCCGCTCCATGCGGAGCACTCCTTCTTCCGCAAAGATAAGGACGCGGAGGGAACGGCCGCAGGAGCCCGGAAGCCGTACGCGCCAATTACGAAGGGGGCTGCGGCTACGACGTCGCCCGGGAGTGCCGAGGGAGAATTTGACGGAATCGACGAGATGGTATACGCGCCCGAGGACGACATCGACTCGGACTCGGATGATGAGATTGAGTACCACGAAGACGAGATGTTCGCGGCCAGTGATGAGGAGAGTCTGCAGGGCGAGGACGGGCGCCGGGAGGCATCGCCGGCCGTATCGTCAGATTCCGCGGAATTTAAGACGGCTCGTCGGCCCGGGGTCAGTTCCCGGGGCTCTAGGGGCCGGGGCGGCCGACGTGGCCGTTAGGGCGATGGCCGCAGGTGTCGGACAGGGCCATTTCTTTGGGAATCTGGCGTGAACAAACTTCTCGCCAGGGTATTTTTGCTTCCTTTTGGGCCTTGTTCCTTTTCTTTGGACCCCATGTTCCGTTGCCTTGTTTACCCTTCTACGCATACTCGTCAGCCCCCGTTCCCTTTGTTTGGTCTTTTATTTGTATTGACTTGCAAGCTTCATCTGCTGTACTTAAAACTGGCCTCCCTTGCCCTCTGTCTAGATAAATCGCAATCGCTGTCGGATCTCATGGCACGCGCACGATATTGAACCGGATACGACGAGCTCTGCTAGGTAGAAAAGATCAATGCGTTTCTCCTCGCGCGCCACTGCTTTGTTCCCTGTGCTGCAGGACAACGCGATGCATCATTGACGTCATTGTGACAAAAGCGGGTAGCTCGCCCCTGGGGACGCCTTCCCAAAGATCTGCCAGGCGCCATGCATGCTGTAGCACAGACAGCACACGACCAGAGGCACGTCCCCTCTCCTCCATGCGTCATAGACACGAATTGGATCCAATTCTTATGTCGATATTTTGCTTTTCCTGGTTGCTTGTCCTGCCTCATGCCACATGCTACCTCATCCCACCACAATACCACCGGTGTTTGTTCCTTTACTCAACTTCCCCCAAAATCTTTTCTGATCCAGCAAATCCATCCGTCCTTCTAGAGAGCAACACAAACGAACAGGCATCATGCTGTCCGCACGAATCGCTTCGAGGTCTGCGAGGGCCGCTCGCCTGCCCGCCCGCATCCCCGCCAAGACAAGCCTCCGCCAAGCTCGGTTCCAATCTACCTCGTCCCCATCTTCCTCAACATCCTCCAGCGGGTCCCACTTCGCCGCCGGCGCCGCGGGTGGCCTTGTGGGCGCCGGTGTCCTCTATGGCGTCTACCAGTATACCCCGGCCGGCCGAATGGCCAGCCGCGTGAACAAGGCCGCGGGCGAAGCCGAGGCCAAGTACAACGAGGCGGCCAAGAAGCTCCGCGAGAAGGCCCCGAGCTCGGCCGACCAGGCCATCGACTCGATGAAGCGCCTCGCCATGACGTACGCCTCCTGGGTCCCCGGTGGCCGCGCCTACGTCGAGGCGGCGTTCGCCGACGTCGACAAGGTCCGCGAGAAGCACAGCGACGAGGCAGACAAGATCGTCCAGGACGCGTACAAGAAGCTGCAGGACGCCAGCAAGGCTGGCTTCAGCCTCGAGGCCGCGTCCAGGGCCTGGGACGTGCTGGCCGAGGTCTCGCGGAGGGTGGCGGAGCTGGCCGGGGACGCGGCAGGCGACGTGCTCGACAACCACCCCAAGCTCAAGGAGAAGATGGGCGGGAGCGTGGACCAGCTGAAGCAGATGGGCGAGCAGTACGGCCCCGAGGCCAAGAAGATGGTGGACGAGACGTGGGCGCAGCTGCGCGACATCGTCTCGGGCGGCCTCAGCGCCGAGAACATCGACAAGGCCCGCAAGCTGGTGGACGAGAAGATGCAGCAGGTGCGGAAGCTCGGCGACGATGCCTGGAAGAAGGCCCTCGAGCAGGCCAAGCCGCTGTTCGAGAAGAGCCCCCAGGTGAAGAAAATCATTGAGGAGAACGCCGACGCGCTCAAGCAGGGCAACACCAAGGAGCTTTTCGACAAGGCGCGCTCGGCCGTGGAGTCGGGAGAGACGGGAGAGCTCGAGAAGTACGTGGGCCAGGCTGTCGACAAGGCAAAGAAGGCTTCTGGCAGCGGCGGCAGCATCATAGGTGGCGGCCTTGAGGAGTACCTTGGCAAGATCCCCAACGGCTCCGACATCTTGCCCAAGCTGCAGCAGCTGGGTGAGGTTGCCATGAAGCACAAGGAGGAGGGAGAACAGCTCCTCAAGGAGACGGTCGAGGAGCTCAAGAAGGTGCTGGAGCAGAAGGCCAAGAAGGCTGAGGAGATTGCAAACAAGGCCAAAAAGGAGGCGAAGTGAAGCATGGATGTCCAAATGCAGGGAGGGCATTTCCACCGTTCATCCTATAGAGCATTGGAGCTGGAGTTTGGCGTTGGTCGTACCTAAAACACCGCCTTCATCCTTGTTAATATCAGCTGGCCTCGAGGCATAAAGGCACCAAAAAGTCTACATTTTTCCACGACCCAGATCCCGTGTGTCATTCCAGCGCGTGTTTCCCAGGCCGGACTACACTAGATCACACTCGAGGCCGTTTATGCGAGCCCACCTCTGCTGGAGGCCTTTCAGTCTAACATCGATCGCGTAGACCGGTTCGCGGCCGCCCCCGACGCATACTCGGCGCATTCGGACACCTTTACGCGTCCCGTACACCGTGTCCCCATGGCTGCGGTGACATCCAGTCGAAATTCTCGTGTTCGCCGGAAGAGTAGCTAGCTATATGTCAAGGCGGAGAAGTAGACATGGGGGAATTTGCTCCAAGAGTTCGCTCCGTGTAATGGACCACGACTGGGACACGAATCTTGTTGCCACTCCCCATTCGAGGCTGTTTGCACTGCGAACTTTGAACTGGCTGGCATTGTAAATAGGTAGGCAGCTATAAAACTACTGCAGGCTAGGCGTCGGGCCGCAACTGTAGATACAACAATACGGCGTCACCTATCTCCTGGCTGATGCCTTCCACAACCAGCTCCGCCCTTTCCCTCGTGCCATCCCCGCCATAAGTCAGTGCACCCCCTGTCCGACCACCCCCCCTGTCCGGACACTCTGTAGAATCCGATCACCATCCAACCTACTGCATTCAACTGCAAATTTTTACCTCTATTTAAGCAACCTCGATGCAAAACGAAATTGATTCCTAATCAAATTCGTCCGGGCTTTCAAATGCACTATCTCCCTCCTCCAAAACCTTACCCCTTCTCTTTGCAACCCGGCGTATATCCACAAAGGCCTCGTTAAGGTCCGCGGTAACCCTTTTCCTTTTGCAAAGCTGCAATGCCTCCAATTGGCCTTTTAATTGCTTAATTTTTTGCCGGGCCTTAACCAGATCGTATTCGTGCCCGCTGTAGCTTTTTTAAACCTTTTTAAAAAATAAGCGTATTGTTGGGCTTACGGGAAGGCGGGCCTGTATAGTGCTAATTTGGGTGGCCAATTTTTTCGATTGCTTAAAGGTTTTCCATAGCACCTAAAACGTTCGAAACAAAATAATTAAACGTTGTTTGGCTTTGTTATTTTTTGCAAATTGTTAAATTTAAGTGCGCTAGCTGTTTTGGCCACAATTATTAAGGATAAAGCGGTTTATAAAGGGTTTGGCCATATTGCAAAGCCACAAACCAAATGCCCGTTACCCCGATAAAATTATATAAAGGGTTAGGGCTACGGATTGTGCGTTGTGGTAAGCGGATAAAAATTAGCGCTTTTTTATTACTGTTAAATAAATAAATAAAGCTTTAAACCCAATTTCTTTTCGGTATGCTTGTTTAAAAGGGCTAAATACCGAAAGGTCGAAAGGCTGCAATACGTAGGACGTATAAGCAAGTAAATAAAATAGGAAAATTTTGTTCCAAAAGTACGAAAGCATAAACTTTGTGGTAACGTACAACCCGTGCCTATCCAAAATTAAAAGGCGAAAGGCAAAAGGAAAAGGTTTGGTGCAAAGGATAAAAACCTTTTGTAACCATTCCAAGCCCGTGCAATCGTTGGTCCAGCCGTTTTTTGTTGCAATAAATTTTTACTTTTAAAAAAGGACCAAATTTGCAAAAAATTATTGCTTTTGCACGCTTTTTTTTTTAAAAATAATAAAGGAAAGCAATAATATACCCGTAGCCGAAATGCATTTAATAAAAAAGGTTTAAATGCGTAATTTAAAGGCTTTATATTGTAAAGCCCGGGCCCTAGCAAGGTTTAAAACGATCCCGTTACCGGTTTTTCCTTTTTGCAAGCTACTTTTGTTAGCGTTATAAATATTTTCCGGTTTAATAACGGCCATTTTCGGAATAAAAAAGCGTTTTTACCATTGCTTTATTATAGCAATAGTAACCTTTTAAACCCGTGCAAATTTTATGGCCTTGGATTTCCCGGCTTTAATTTTTAAATACCGGCTTAAAAAGCGCTGTAGCTAGCGCTTCCCAAGCGGTAAAAAGGTCCTTCCGGTGCTTATAATATTGTTGGCGAAAACCCGGATTTCCGCGTGCGTTGGTAAAAGGCTTAAAAAGTTTTGTAATAAAATCCAATTAGCCAAGCGCTTTTTTTACTTAAAAGCTACACGTTAATATTCCTTTTGTAATTGTTGGATAAGTAAAGCGCTTTTAAAACGGTTATATAAAGTAAACCTAGGGATGCCATGCATGCAAGCGGCCTTTCGGACCCCAACCCTTTTATGCATATCGGCAATAGCCCGTTTAACGTTTTATTCCGTATATCGTTTTTCCGGCATTTTGTCGTTAAAATGCAGAAAAAAGTAAGGAAAACGATCCAAAATTGACAAAAATATAAGGGCAGGAGTACTTTAGAAGATTCCAGGCTGTGGGGTTACAAAGTGTCCGGACAGGGGGGGTGGTCGGACAGGGGGTGCACTGACTTAATTAGAACCGCGTTGTCGCCGCAGAGTTACCGCGGAGCAGGTACGCGTTCAGTGCCGCATTTAAGCCCAGCATAGCGTTGGAGCCTGTTGTAAAACGAGAATGCGTGCAGTAAATGGGTAATTTCATAAATCTTTGTTGAGTTTGCTCCCAATACTAAAGACGGGGGTGAGGGTGGGAGACCCTCGAGCTCCAGACACTCGTGCTCGGCTGATGCCCAGAAGACCTCCCTCGCAATGCGACGCTTTGTGAAGTGTTACTCCATAAAGTACATCGCGACGCCCGCGATTTGCCGGTGACCTCTCCAACCATAAGGTCCGCATCCCCCTGATCTACACCCGCCCTGACCAGGTGGGTGCGGCAAATTTGACCCACGGCGTCGGCACCCGCAGCTTGATGGTGGAACAGATACGTGTTTAGCGCCTTGTTCAGCCCCATCATCGCATCCGAGCAAATCACGCCGATCATCTTGGCCTTGTCGGCTGGGTCGTAACCCCAGCGATCGTTGATTTCGGCCATGATATATGATGTGATGATGCCACCGGCCGTGATTGCCTTCCTTGCTCGCTCGGCCGTCGCGGCCGCGGCGGCCACGGCTGGACTGGCGTTTTGCTGTTTCAGTATGATCAGCATTCTGTTGGCAAAATTGTGGTTCTTTGAAGAATAGAGATAGAGGAAGCATCGCAAATAGTGTGCGGAGCTGGAAAGGAAAATGGCTAGACAATAATACGCCATGTTTCTAAACTAGCAGCAGGATGGTTCGGATATGAAGGATGCTGGATATAGTTTCGGCGGCAGAAAGAGGAGATGAATGGACGATGGTGTGAAAGAGCAGCAGAGGCGGACATCGCTGCGTCGGCAAAAAAAAGAAAGGGCGTGTCAGGTTACCCACCACATCCTGCGCGCCATCCGCGCGCCGCGGGTCCTCGTCGACATGTTGCGAACCGTCCATCTTAAAGCTGTGTCGGTATGGACTGTCGAATGTGGAAGAGTAGATGGTCTGGCTAGACGTAGGCAGGCTGGTTAGTGTCTAAAGGGTAAGGTAAAGCCGATCGCATGCAAAAGCTGTGAAATTCTTGCCTGAGTGCCTTTCCGATGGAAACAAATCGGAAGAGGTGCCAGATTCTTGTTTATAACAGAGTCTCGTCACGGTTCGAGGCGTTTACGAAAGGCTTTTGCTCGCAGTCTTGGTGGTGCGCTGACGAAACTTCTTGGAGAGGACTGCCGTGGGAGAAGACAAAGATACATTAGGGCCAAGAGCCTGGCAGGCCTTTTTGAAGTGGCATTGTGGGTGGGGCATCGCTTCAGTGGCATCAGACGAAGACAGGAGCGAGGTCAAAAGAATGGCGCTGTCGTTAAAACGCATGTCACCCTCTTGTAAGTTTTCGTGTACCTCCATCGAGGAAAACGCTTTATAATCCTTTTACATAAAAGTAACGGTAGTGGCTACTTATATATTGAAGCTTTGGGCATAATTCTACATGGTAATAACTTTCCATGTCCTTCCCTCCACCAGGAAAGTTTGTGTAAATAGGATTATTGTTAATGCAAGGTTTTAAAACCAAAAGTTCGTTGCTGAAGTCCGGCAAAAAAGAAACTTGTATAAAAAAGAATCGTGATATTTTAATTAACGTACAAGAGGTTGTATCGGACCAACCTCAACTTTACTGTATACGTAGTATTTTAGATTGCTCGGCTCCTGTTACCCGGGGATTAACCCTTCGACCCCGGGGATGTTACCGAGCCTCCGTCGGCAACAGCAAGGGTGCAGTAGTAAGCACCGCGCCTGCAAGAAAGGGGTATCATTGTAGATAAAAGGGCACGCGGCCGGGGGCCTCGTGCCCTCTTCTTCCTTCTCTTCAAAGATTTAGATAAGCTTACGATAGGACCTATTTTGCACCGTTTGTCCGCTATAAAACAAGGTGGGTCTTTTTGCGTTAGCACAGCAATGGAAAGGAAATGGTAAGTTGCTTACAAGGCTTTGCTCTTCAGCCGCTCGCTGCGGGTTCTCCTCGGAAGGTTGTAAGCCTTCCATCTTGTCACCGTGGCGATGTGAAACGAGTGCCTTGATTGCCAAGTTACGAAGAGGAGACAGTGTTGCTAGGCAATTCTAACCAGTCTGTAAAGGATGAAGTTGGGGGTTAGTTGAAGAACCTTGCTTGTAGTGGCCTTTGAGCGGAGGCAGTCGGAAGAGACGGTAAAGCGCATACCTACGTCCAGATGTCTCTAGGACTCGAGGTTTGTGCGGGAGGCTTTTCTTAATGGTGTGTTGAAGAGACTTTTGGGCGAGCACTGCTGTGTCGGGAGACAAAAGATACTTTGGAGCTGAAAGACCTGGGAGTTTTTATATATTGGTAGCATTGGTAAAGCGCTAGTTCAGCCCCACCCGGTAAAGACAGGATGAAAATAATAAAGCGCAGGTTACCCACTTGTGAGTACGCCCATGCCTCGATCAGGAAGAACACTTCATAATCCTCTAAAGTGGAAGTACACTTCCTGATGGGGCACTTCCATAATCCTTTAACATGAAAGCAAGGGTAATAATCAGTTACATATTAAAACCATAACTATAATGCCATAAAGTACTGTCCATGTCCTACAGAAGAGGAACTTAGGGTTATATAGTACGTAGCGGTAGCATGTTGAAAGTTTTGTAAGAGATTTTAATATGGCACCAGCCTGAATTTAAAGCTTTACGGAGTACAATTGTTGTTTACTTCTGCTCTTTTACAACTTAACCGAGCCTACGACGCCGACAGTACCAGCTATTTATAATTTGGCGAGCAGGACCTAAAGTTAGATATTATGACATGAGCCTTCCCAGTGATGATTCTAAACCTAGAGTCATATAACGCCTTCCTCCAAAACCCGCAGATTTGACAAAATAAGGGCGCGGTTGCGTCAGCCAGTTGACAAGAAAAATACAACCACATACTCGCTGCAGGCAAACTGATGATACTACACTTTGTTTGTAACAATATGCATCATTTTTGCCTGCCATTGAAAGCCAAGCACACACGGGGACATATGTGTAGGGCTGACGAGGTAATAAGCTCACTAATGAGCGACACCGTGACCGCCACATGTATACAGGCTTGCGGGCAATACGATTGGGTTGGGCATGTTGCTAAGCGAATCCGCGCCGCAGGGGCGTTGCCGCGCCCGCAAGAACGGCACGGAAGGCTCCATGTCCAAGGCCTGCTCCCCGTTCCTGCGAACACGTACGCAGGCTTATGTCGGCTCTAATTGGGCTAGGAAGGATGCGGGGGCACGCCAGAGGTAAAATTGCCGCAGGGATGTGGTGCGGGGAAGAGGCACGACTTGGGGCTCAATGTGAGGCCAAGACAGCGGATCCCACTTTAGGCCTGCTGAAATGGGTGGTGGTGGGGGCCGAAGAAACGCTGTAGCTATGGAATTACATGTAGTTAGCATGGGAGCCTGTTGACGCGGTGTACGTCACCAGTAAGATCGCAGAGCACTAAGTCAGTGCACCCCCTGTTGGGACACCCCCCCTGTTGGGACACTCTGTAGGGATCCATCAACACCAAACCTACTACCTTCAACTGCAAATTTCTACCTTTATTCAAGCCACCTCGATGCAAAACAAAGTTAATTCCTGTTTAAAATCGTCCGGGCTTTTAGACGCACTATTCACTTCCTCCAAAACTGCACCCTTTTTTGCAGCAACCCGGCGTATATCCACGAAGGCCTCGTTAGGATCCGCAGCCACCCTTTTTTTTTTGCGAGGCTGCAATGCTTCCAATTAAGCTTTTAATTGCATGATTTTTTGCCGGGCTTTAGCCAAATCGTATTCGTGCCCGTTGTAGCTTTTTTAAAGCTTTTTAAAAAAAAGCCGGGTTGTAAGGCTTGTAAAAAAGCGGGCTTTAATAATGCTAATTTGGGTGGCCAACTTTTTCGATTGCTTAAAGGTTTCCTATAGCATTTTGAACGTTCGGGATAAAATTGTTAAACGTTGTTTGGCTTTGTTATTTTCGGCAAATTGTTAAATTTCGGCCCGTTAGCTATCCTGGCCATTATTATTAAGCACAAAGCGGTTTATAAAGGGTTTTGCTATATTGCAAAGCTATAAACCGGAAGCCCGTTACCTTAACAATATTATATAAAGGGTTAAAGCTACAAATCGTGCGTAATAATAAGCTTTTAAAAATTAACGCTTTTTAACCATTGTTAAGCGGGTATATAAAGCTTAAAACCCGATTTTTTTCCGGTATGCTTATTTTAAAGGGCTAAATACGGCAAAGTTAAAAGGCTGCAGCACGTGGAACGAATAAGCAAGCAAATAAAATAGGAAAATGTTGTTCCGAAAGCACAAAAGCATAAATTTTGTAGTAACGTGCAATTTGTGCTTATCCAAAATTAAAAAGCGAAAGGCAGGAAAGGAAGGTTTAATGCAAAGGATAAAAACCTTTTGCAGCTATTTTAAGCCCGTGCGATCGTTGGTTTAGCCGTTATTTATAGCAATAAATTTCCATTTTCGAAAAAGGGCCAAATTTGCAAAAAACCATTGCTTTTGCACGCTTTTCCTTTTAAAAATAATAAAAAAAGGCAATAATATACCCGTGGCCGAAATGCATTTAATAAAGGAAGTTTAAGTGCGTAACCCGGGGTTTTTACGTTGCAAAGCCCGGGCTTTAGCAAGGCTTAAAACGATCCCGTTGCCGGTTTTTTCTTTTTGCAAGTTACTTTCGTTAGCGTTATAAATGTTTTCCGGTTTGATAGCGGTTACCGCCGGGATAAAAAAGCGTTTTTACCATTGCTTTATTATAGCAATAATAACCCTTTAAACCCGTGCAAATTTTATCCGCCGGGCCTTTCCGGCACGGATTTTTGGATACCGGTTTAAAAAAGCCTGTAGCTAATGCTTTCCAAACGGTTAAAAAGGCTTTCCGTTGCGAAGGATATTTTCGGCAAAAAACCGGATTTCCGCGTGCGTTAATGGAAGGTTTAAAAAATTTTGCAGTAAAATCCAGTTAGCTAAACGCTTTTTTTATTTAAAAGCTATTCGTTAATATTTTTTTTGTAATTGCCGGATAAGTAAGGCGCTTTTAAAGCGGTTATATAAGGTTAACTTAAGGATGCCATGCATGCAAGCGGCTTTTCGAATTCCAACCTTTGCATGCACCGCAGCAACGGCCCTTTCGACGTTTTCTTTTGTATACTGTTTTTTTGGCATTTGGGCATTAAAATGCAAAAAAAAGTAAGGAAAACGGTCCAGAATTAACAAAAATATAAGGGCGGGAGTACTTTAAAAGATTCCATGCTGTGGGGCTACAGAGTGTCCCAACAGGGGGGGTGTCCCAACAGGGGGTGCACTGACTTAACCGCGGCCTCGCTCGCTGTGTGTTTCTGATTTACCGGTGACTAGATTTATTTTTACCGTGCCCCATGCTTGTGTCGATTTTTTTCTTACTCCTTCCATAATTACACACTTTGTGTACCCCCCCAGGCTCATTTGGGTCACCCAAATTCCCACCCAGCAAATGGTGCAAACTTGCATCCCATGAGCCATGATGAGGCTGCTTCTATTCGCCCACCTGATGTGGCACTCTATGGCTCAAAGCGGTATTCTCGCCATTTTGACATCGTTAAATAGATACGGGCCTTTTGGGCCATGGCAAGCCCCGGGAGTTCTGGTTGGCACACGCATGACAGATAACCTGCGGTCTGAACCGTGGACTGTCGCCTTTTACCCTCTTACTGGGATATTGACCGGACGTTACCATCGGACAGGCAGCCGCTTCTACTCAGCAACCAGCAGTGGCTCATACACACCTACCGACTCGGACACCGCAACGCTGAATGACACCGGGCCCTACACCGATGAATTGTCTCCGGTTGACGACAGCCGTGGGGTGGTTCAGTTTTACTATGATCAGCTCAAATTTAAAATCTCCCATGCGCTTCCCGCCAGGGGTGGCACGTCGAGACGGCTCCGGTCAACATATCGATGCGAGTTGTGGACAAGATCGTTTATTACGGGAAATATCAAGGAACGCCGGAAACTCCTCACGAGATAAATGCCATCGGCTTTGGGTACGGCTTGTACCCAGAATCAGATCCAATCAAAGTCGATCATGGTTTTGAGCTTCTGCATGAGCTGAAAGCAAGTCAAGCAATTGGGTCGAAATCCTTTGGATTCCACTTAGGTATTGCCGGGGGTCTGGACAGCGGAGCCGGAAGTCTCACTCTTGGTGGCTACGACCGTAGCCGGGTCATTGGTCAGCCCGCAGTCTTCGACGCTTTGCCGCTCACTGACCTAGCCGTTTTCCTTGTGGACGTCGTGGTCGGAGTTCAGGTTGGCGACAGCCCATTCGAGCTCATTGCTCACCCAACAAGCTTCTTCTCAAGCAGTGCGCTCGAATCTTCCTTGAGCGAAGAGAGAGGTGGCAAATCAGGCTCTTTACTTGTACAAGTCGACCCTCAAAAGCCACATATGGGCCTCCCCACAGCTACATGCAATTCACTAGCTCGACACGTAAGTAATCGGAGATTAATTACCACTCTTTTTCGTGGAACACGAGGTTTATCCCAAAGGATATCAGCTCCCAGTCACCTGGGACTCTCGCCTCGAGCTGTATGTCTGGAACACAGCAGACCCAGCTTTTGAAAGAATCACGCAGTCAGCGGCATATCTCACCGTAGTCTTATCTGATAAGTCAATGCACACCCTGTCGACGCACCCCCCCTGTCGACGCACTCTGTAAGGATCCGATTAACACCAAACCTATTACATTCAATTGCAAATTTTTACTTTTATTCAAGCAACCTCGATGCAAAATAAAGCTAATTCCTGATCAGAATTTTCCAGGCTTTTAAACGCTGCATCCATTTTTTTTTAATTGCACCTTTCGTTTTTGCAACGCGCCGGATATCCACAAAGGTTTCGTTAGGATTTGTGGCTATCCTTTTCTTTTTGCAAAGCCGTTATGCTTTTAATTGGGCTTTTAATTGTTTAATTTTTAATAAGCGGTAACCAAATTGTATTTGCGGGTGCTGTAACTTTTTTAAAGCTTTTTAAAAAAAGCCGGGTTGTAAGGTTTGCAAATATCCGGGTTTATATAAAGCTAATTTGGGTGGCCAACTTTTTTAATCGTTTAAAGGTTTTCCAAAATATTTGGAATGTTTGGGAAAGGATTGTTAAACGTCGTTTGGCTTTATTATCCTTTGCAATTTGTTAAATTTTGGATTGTTAGCTGTTTAAGCTAAAATTGTTAAGGACAAAGCGGTTTATAAAGGGTTTGGTTATATTGCAAAGCCAAAGGCCGAACGCCCGCCACCCCGCTTTTATATTAAAGGCAATAAGGGCTTTTAATTATGCGTAAGCATAAGCCGTTAAAAATTAACGTTTTTTTACCATTGTTAAGCAGGTAAATAAAGCTTAAAAGCCGATTTTTTAGCGGTAAACTAAGTATAAGCGGGCAAATATAAATAAAACGTTATTTCGTAAGCAAAAAAATATAAACTTTTTGGTAACGTGCGATTCGTACCCATTTAAAATTAGAAAACGGGCTTTAAGGGTAAAGGGTTGGGTGCGTAAAAAAACACTTTTTGCAGCCATTCCAAGCCCGTAAAATCCGTAATCCAATCGTTATTTGTAACAATAAATTTCCAGCTTCGGAAAAGGCTTAAATTTGCAAAAAAACCATTGCTTTTGCACGCTTTTTCCCTTAAAAATAATAAAAAAAAGCAGCGATACCCCCGTAGCCAAAATGCATTCGATAAACGAAGTCCACGTGCAAAACCCAAATTTTTTACGTTGTAAAAGCCGGGTGCCAGCAAAGCTTAAAACAAGCCCGTTACCGGTTTTACCTTTTTGCAAGCTTTTTTCGTTAGCGTTATACGTGTTTTCCGGCTTAATCCGGGCCATTTCCGGTATTTGCAAGCGTTATTACCATTCCGTTATCGTTGTAATTGTAGCTTTTTAAACGCGTGCGTTTTTTATGTGCTTTAATTTTCCGGTTTGGTGTTACGACCAACAAACACCTTTACCCAGGAAGAAGGGGTGGCACGGCACGGAAACCCCCATAAAGGGTAAGGAGTTACGTAACCACTTAGGATTAGTGGATTAAGGAAGCAGGAAAGGTAAGCCACCAATCCAAAGGAAGTTTAAGAAGGCTTATAAAGTTGGCTTGGTAAGCCAATTAATTTACGACCCCAATAAAATAAACATTAAGGTATAAAAAGGAAAAGGTTTTTTATTGTTTTAAGTAATTTTTAATTAAGGCTTTAACATTAATTAAATTTTAATTAGCTTTTAAACAACTTTTGGAGCAAGCATTTAAACCGCACCCAAATTACTTTGTAAATCCTTTTAATTTGTTAAATTACGTGCTATTATTCGATATTCTTTTAATGCTTTACTTTAAAAACAAAGGCCTAACTGTAACATTTTAATTAATTTTATTTAGCACCCGAACCGGTACCGAATAATAGCAATAGCGGCCCAAATAGCCCAAATTCCCGTTCCTAACAACAACGAAGAAAAAATGCTTAACACTTTTATTTACGAAAGGGTTATGTATAACTTAAACGAAAGAAATTAAGCAATTTAAGCGTTGCTTGCAATATCCTAAACTGTAACCCAGCTATAAGCCCAAATTAATACCTTTTGTATAGCTACCAAAGCGTACAAATTTTTTACGCTTAATCGCTACGATAAAAAGGACGGGGCTTTTAAAGCTTTTTTAACGAAATGCCGAAGCTTTTTTGCCTTTTATTATAACCAATTTAATACAAAGCAATAAAAGGTTGCTTACGCAGCCATTTGCTTTAAAAGCAAGGTTAAAAAGTGGTTCGAGCCCGTATAAGCAAATTTTTTTAAAAGCTACAACAAAAGCAAAAAAAAAACCAAAGTTATTTTTGCTAATTTCGCCCGGTTCGAAAAGGAAATTATTAACGTATTTGGCCAAATTAATAAGCAACGAATTGCTAAAAATTTTTTTTTTAATTTCGATAAAAAAGCGCAGCGTTAAAATACGTTTCCGATTTTTAACGCTTTGTTAATAAGCTCGATTAAATTAACCAAACCAAAATGGTTTATTTATATAATAAGTTCCGAAATAACGTAAAAAACGAGGTTTTAAAAGTTAACCAACCCAAATCCTTCGCTAAATACGTTATTATCGTAATTAAAATTAGCGATAAATTGTATAAGCGCCGTTTAAAAAAAAGGCTAAAAAACCAAACCTGTAATATAAAGTAATTAACCGCAACGGCCGTTTAACCGTAACAAATTTATAGCTTATGGTTGTTACTTTGGCTTTATAAATTTTAACGCTGGCGTTACGCATTAAAAGCAAAGGAAACGCAAATTCCAAAATTTTAAAAATAGTAAATGGTTCCAATATAAATAATTTGGGCACATTAAAAAGGATTGCTTTTAAAAAAAGGAATAAAAAAAAGTATTTTAAAATAAAAAAACGGGCCTCGTGGTGCAGTGGCTTTGCACCAGGCCGGTTCCGCCAGGACCACGGGTTCGAATCCCGTCGAAACTACAAAGAACTTTTTGTTTTTTAGCCGCCCGCCTTGCTAGGCCGGAAAAAGAAAGGGGCCGCCCCGCTAACGGGCTTCGCCCGAATTAATTTTTACCTACGCACAATTAATTAATAGTTCCGACAATTAATTCGATTCCGACCCCTCCAACCCCAACCCCTCCCAGCCCCTTTTGCATTATTTCGAAGGCCTAAAATGCAAAAGGTTAAGCCAAAAAAAAGGTAACGAAAAGGCCTTTGGAAAGGCCTAACCCTACCCCAACAAGCGCACGCACAAACCAATAAATTCGATTACCATCCCTTTCTCTTTTAAATATTAACCATAAGCCTTAGCCCCCCTGCAGCCTTTAGCCCCAATCCCAACCTTACCGCCCTAAATAACCCAAAACGCAAAAAGCCAGGCCAATAAAACGGTAGCGGGAAGGAAAAAGGCCGGGTGTTAAAAAAACCAGGTTAAGTGCGTGGGAAGGCCTTTTAAGCGCTTTGGACAAACTTAAGCAAAAAAACCGGCAAAGGACCCTTTTAACCGAAATGGACCCAATTCGTAGCCCCCTCGGCAAAAAGGCCAGTTTGGCAAATCGAACAACAAATTAACCAACCAATTATAAACAAGCAAAACGCGGTTTTGTTGGCCTTTTGCAAAAGGGGCTGCACGCAAAAGGACGGTTAATTCCCGGGTAAAGCCTTTACGAGCAATCGAGCGTAAAAAAAAGTAAGCGTTAGCCAAAGCGGTTTAATACCGCTACGGAAGCGCACCGTTAAAAAGGCGGAAACGCAGGCATAAGGTTTTTCCTTTTTAGGCCCAACCCAAAGGTTTTCCCCCATTTGCATGTACTTAGCCGCAGCATTAAGGTTTCTTCCATAAACATAACAGCGTATAAATACAACAAAATAAAAAAACGAAAATAACGGCAATAACCAGGAAAATAACGATAAAATCGGAGGATAATGGCTATCCCGGCTTTGCGTTTTTTTAAATTACATGCATTAATAACCATTGCGTTATTTACCATTTTAATAAAAATGCAATAAAATGGTTTTTTTGCAAACGATTGGTTATAACCAAACAAAAAAACCTTGTAACAATTTGCAGCAATAATTTAACCAATTCCAATAACAAAAGCAACCAAATTTAAATCGATAAAAACTTTCGGAAAAACTTTAAGCTATAAAACAAAATACTTTAAAAATAGCTTTTGCGCGTTGCTAAGCAAAAAGGAATTTCGAATGCTTTTGTTAAAAAACGAAATTTTAAAAACGAAATAGCCCAATAAAAATATAGCTTAAAATTTTGGGCCAAACCCAATTTAATCCCCGATTTCGAGCCAAAAAATATTAAAAAAGGAAATAAATTAATTATAAAAAACATTGTAAAATTTTTTTAAAACCCGGATTTTGCTATCCCCAAACCAATTAAAATTTAGGTAATAAATAAAAATTTTTACGAACGAATAACGTTTAAAAGCAACAAATTCGAAAAAAAAGCAACAAAAAAAGTTTAAACAATTTCCGCCAATACGCTAAAAATACCCGCGTTTTGCAAAAATACACGCAAGCGGCGTACCAAAAACGGTACCAACAAAAATACAAATTAAAACGCAATTAAAGCGTTAATTTGCAGGATTTTTGGGTACAAACTAAGCGTTAGCTAAAAAAAAACAAACCGGGCCGCAACCAATTTGTTATGGTTAAAACCAACGGTTTAGCGTACGCATGCGCAGCAATAATCGGTTATAAAACGTTCCGCTAAAGCAATTGGCTATGCAAAAGCAAAAAAAAAGCTTGCACCCGGTACGCCCGAAAACCGTAATTAAGCAATTTTAAAAAAGCGAAAAAGCTTAAAGCAAAGTTAAAGTCCGACGGCGCTTTTAAAACGTTAATTTGCCAAACGAAAACGGCACTTTTTACGAAATTATATTAGCCAAAAACAATTTTGGGCGTTTTATTAGCTAGCTTGGTAATAACCACCCAATTACGTACCGAAAGTACACCCGGTTGCAAGCGTATAGCTAAAAATGGGCCGAAAAGCTGCAAAACAGCATTAAAAAAAAAACCACAATAGCTTTATGCTTAATTACCAAAAGCATTTGTAATTGTTTTAAAAAAAATGCTTCGTTACAAATTGTGCAATATATTTAATTTAAAAGCTTTAAAACGATTTTTTTTTATCGATAAATTAATAAACCAATTATTAAGCTTAAATTGGCATGGCAGCTATTTAAATGGTTTATTACCAAAAGGTACGGAAAATCGGCAATGTTTCGATTTAACCTTTAATAGCTTATGCTTTGCGTTATTAAAATTTTAAAATAGCAAAAATGCAAAAAATTGGAATGTTAAATTTATACCATGCAAAAAGCTAAAGCATAGCAAATAAAATATAAGCTTTTATACATACCAATACGGTACGACAAAAACATAAAAGGTTTGTATAAACCTTTTAGCAACTTTAATAACTTAAAATATATAAAAATAAAAAACCGCTTTTGCTTCCCCAACCTCGCGACGGAAGAACGCCATTAAATACAGCAAATTTAATATTAAATTTAAACTTTTCGCTTCCGGCTCGCTACCGGACGTATGTCCGCGCGCGAACGCGCTTCCAGCGCGGTTGCTAGCAGCGCTAATAGCCCCGAAAGCGGCGGAGCGGTTACTAACCGCTTTAAAGCCAGCAACAATACCATTATAACCAACGCCTTTAACCCTTTTCCAACGCGCACCCGCATTGCAAATTTAAAAAATTAGCTAATCGAAATATTAAAGCTTTTCGTGCCTTTCGGCAGCACCGAATTAATGTTTAAAATTGTAAAAAAATGGATTAAAACCGTAACAAACGCGTTCGAAACGCGGTTTTGCAACCATTGCAACCACATGCCTAACCATTTTTGCATTATAAAAAATAAAATTATCGTTAAAATATGCAACGTTTACAAACAAACCATTAGCTACGCTTCGATTTTAGCAACCGGTTTGCCGCAAAGCGGTTAAACCGGCAATTACCCGCTTACAATCCGCCCTTACGCATTTTCCAATACCGGCCCCCCCCCCCCCCCGAAATATATTTTCGCGCGTATTAAACGCAAAATTACTATTTTAACCAAAAATGTTTTTTTTAAAATTGCAAACCGCATATTCGTTAAAATTACCATTACATTAATTAAAAAGCTTAGTAACAACGTAAAAATAACGCGCAAGCTTTTTAACGGTAACGTAGTAATTTTATTTTATATAACCGCCGTTAAGCATACGAAAAATACCGCGTAGGTTATTAAAGTATTTAATAGCAAAGCAATATACCAAACCCGAATTTATAACGTTGTAATTAAAAGCATTTAATAAAACGCAATTAATAATAATAATATTTTGCTGTACGAATTTAAAGCGCATAATATCGGGGCCAAAATTAATTTAATTTATGTATAAAACGCTTAGCAACCGGAAAAATACGTTACGGTATTAGTTAAAATTATATCCCCCGCCGCAATTTAAACCGCATGCAATAACGGCTTTATATTTAAAAGCGAAATTTTTAACGTTAAACCGTTTGCAACGGAAGCGAAAGCCGTTTAATGCTATAAATGCTACGGGTAAAAATATAAATCGAAATTTTGCAAAAAAGCGGTTCGTTGCTTGCATTGCGCTAAACCGTTGCATAGCAACGGCAAAGCTAAAAAAATTTTATGCCCGTTGTACGGGGGTTAATTTGTTGCAAAAAAAAGCGAACCAAAATGTTGCAATTGCAAAAGCAATTACCCGGTTTTTTAACAAGCGTGCCCCGCAACGAAAAAAGAAATTAAAAAAGCTAAAAATATAT